AAACTTTTCAGGAAAGTTTCCATTTCAATTTTTACATGTGCCATCGTTCCCTTTAAACAATCTGTTATTCAAGAGTTAGAACATGTATCCTGATATTTGGATCACAAAAAAAACCCCGCTTAAATGAGAATTCAATGAATTTCCCATCTTAATCATTATTTGGGGAAGAATCTTGGACCCAATCCCATGCTTACCCTAAAATAAATGCCAAATGGGACAAGTGGAGAAGAATATGGGTGGATATGTGGAGGGCGATGGCCAGTTTTTCCTGATATAAATTCCAAAACTTATAAAGGAGAAAATAGATATGACAGTATATGAAATGTTCAGTACAGCAAAAAAAAGATAAATAGGAGAAAATGCAAACTGGGAAATATTCTTAGTAATATACAAAAGACAATAAATGTTCAAGCCCTGGTTGGTGTAGCTCAGTGGATTGAGCACGGGCCTGCGAACCAGAGTATTGCGGTTTGATTCCCTGTCAGGGCACATGCCTGGGTTGCAGGCTGGTTCCCAGCAGGGGACACGTGAGAGGCAACCATACATTGATATTTCTCTCCCTATCTCCTTCCCTTCCCCTCTAAAGATAAGTAAATAAAATCTAAATTAATTAATTAATTAATTAATGTTCAAAGGAAGTCTTTGCAAATTCCTGAGGGAAAAATAAACAGAATAATGCACAAACCTGCAAGCAAAAGTTTACCAAAGAAATGTTAAAAGGTAGTCATTATATAAAGAAATGTTCAACTTCATTAGCATTTTTAAATGCTAACAAAAACAATGAGGTTTTTCTCTAGTAGACCAAAATTAGGAAGAAAAATGGACAAACTAGGCAAGCATTGAGGTTTGGGGAAGCGGTGCTCCTGGGCGCTATTACTGGGACACACACCGCAGCCCAGCTGGAGGGCCTCGGGGCCTCCGGGACGGAGCCTTCGGGGAACAGCGTGGCAATGAGCGAGCTCCGTGAGGTTGAAACCCAGTGAGTGCGAATTCGCACTCATAAAAAATCACAGCGACATAAAATTACGTGAGTGGAAAAGTCTTTTTACAACCAATGTGTTGCTGAGAAAGAAAACCAGGTTAAAGGACTATATGACTCCATTTATGTAAATCACACACCCACGCACACAATTATATATAAAAAGATGTCTTTAAGCAAGTTACTAAATTATTTCTCTCTGGGAGATGGGATTCACTTCCTGTTTTCTGGTTTTTCATGGGTCATTTAATAATTCATGTACTGTGGTGAAAAAAAGATAACAGTTATTTTCTTTTTTATCATTACTATAACATTAAGTTTTATTGTTGAGATAAATAGCAAATCGTGATTGCTTGAGTTTCCACAATTTTTTTTTTACCTGGAGTACATAATTGCCAGGTTCATTAATTCTCTTCATTTTTAAGTGCGTGTAATTCCCAGATGCTCTAATGGCTTCATAAAATAATCTGCATTATTATTTCATACACAGTCAAATGGGCTAGGTCACCGATACAGTGCACAGGTAACGGCTTAGTATCCAACATCGTCAGCTCTGTAGCTGTAACTCTTCCTCCCTTTCCCTGATATCAGCACAAGCATGGTGTTCATTCAGTGCAGCAAACTGTAGCTTTAAAAATGTACTTACTAGTCTTTCTTGCAGCAACAAAATACTAGCAAGCCAATTTCATCAACATATTAAAAACATATATACCATAACCAGAGGGAGTTTATTAGAATGTAAGGATGGCTCATTAAGTGAAAATTGATTAACTTAATGCAACATATTAAAAATGAAGGGAAAATGTGATTATTTCACTTGATGCAGGAAAAGCATTTGATGAGATTTAACATCCTTGTTATGGTAAAAAACTAGGAATAGAAGGATACTATCTCAACATAATAAAAGCCATAAATAGGAGCTTCTGGCCAAGATGGAGGCATAGGTAGAAATGCTTCTCTTCCTCACACAACCAAAAGAAAAATAACAACCAGTTTAAAAGCAAAAAAACAACCAGAACTTCTAGAAAATTGAACTGTATGGAAGTCCGACAACCAAGGAGTTAAAGAAGAAACATTCATCTAGATGGTAGGAGGGATGGAAACAAGAAGCTGGGGTGGAGAGGACGTTCGGCAAGGCAGCTGGTGGACCAGGACGGTGAGGCGGTACCTGGTGGACATGGAAGTCCCACATTCGTGTGCAGATAAACTGGGAGAAACAACTGGGGAGTGAGACAGACCTCACAACCCAGGGTTCCTGAGTGGGAAAACAAACCTTCAAAAGCTCTGGCTGTAAAAACGTGTGGAGGTTGCGGCAGTGGGAGAAACTCCCAGCCTCACAGAAGAGTTTGTTGGAGAGACCCACAGGGTCCTAGAATGCACACAAACCCACCCACTCAGGTGTCAGCACCAGAAGACCATAATTTGCTTGTGGTTAGCAGGGGAAGTGATTGAAACCTGGGCGAGCACCAAGCAAGCAGCATTGTTCTCTCTCTGACCCCTACCCCACAGACAACACCACAATGCAGTGAAGTGGGTTGCCCCGCTCTGGTGAATACCTAAGGTTCCATCTCCTACAACATAACAAGTGTGCCCAGAAAAGAAATACAGCCTAAATGAAAGAACAGATCAAAATTCCATAAAAAGAACTAAGCAAAGAGGAGACAGCTAACCTATCAGATGCAGAGTTCAAAACATTGGTAATCAGGATGCTCACAGACATGATTGAGTACAGATGCAAAATAGAGGAAGAAATGAAGTCTATGAAAAGTGAATTAAAGAAAAACATACAGGGAACCAACACTGAAGGGAAGGAAACCAGGATTCACAACAGCAATTTGGAACAAAAGGATGAAATAAACATTCAACCAGAACAGAATGAAGAAACGAGAATCCAAAAAAATTAGAGACTTAAGAATCTCTGGGACAACTTTAAACATCCAAATCATAGGTGTGCCAGAAGGAGAAGATCAAGAAATCAAAAACTTACTTAAAAAATAATAAAAGAAAACTTCCCCAATCTGGTGAAGAAACTAGACATAAAAGTTCAGGAAGCTCAGAGAATCCCAAAGAAGTTGGACCCAAAGAGGAGCACACCATAATTAAATTACCCAAGAGTAAAGATAAGGAAGAATCTTAAAGCAGCAAGAGAAAAAGAGAGTTATCTACAAAGAAGTTTCCATAAGACTATCAGCTGATTTCTCCAAAGAAACTTCACAGGCAAGAGGAGGCTGGAAAGAAATATTCCAAATCATGAAAGGCAAGGACCTACGTCCAAGATTACTCTATCCAGCAAAGTTATCATTTGGAATGGGAGGGCAGATAAAGTGCTTCCCAGATAAGATCAAGTTAAAGGAGTTCATCATCACCAAGCCTTTATTATATGAAATGTTAAAGAGAATTGCCTAAGAAAAAGAAGATCAAAACTATGAACAGTAAAATGACAACAAACTCACAACTACCAACAACTGAAGCTAAAACAAAAACAAACTAAGTAAACAAGTAGAACAGGAACAGATCACAGAAATGGAGATCACAGGGAGGGTTATCAGTGGGGATCGAGAGTGGGGAGAATGGGGAGAAAGGTACAGGGAATAAAAAGCATAAATGATAGGTACAAAATAGACAGGGGGAGGTTAAGAATGGTATAGAAAATGGAGAAGCCAAAGAACTTATATGTACGACCCATGGACATGAACTAAGGGGGGTAGGAATGCTGGAGGGAAGGGTGTACTGGCAAGGCAGAGCGTAATAAGGAGAGAAAGAAATGGGACAACTGTAATAGCATGATCAATAAAATATACTTTTAAAAAAGCCATAAATAAAAACCCACAAGCGAACATCATATTCAATTCTGAAACACTGAAAGCTAGGATTAGAAACAAAGCAAAAATGTCTGTTTTTACCATTTCTATTTAACATAGAACCTGAAGCTCTAGCCAGAGCAATGAGAGGGGGATCAAATACAATCAAACTGGGAAGAGAAGTAAAATTATCTCTGTTGTCAGATCATACATTTTTATGTGTAGAAAATTCTAAAGATTACACACACAGAGAAAAGAAAACTATTAAACTAATAAATGAAATCATCAAAGTAGCAGGATACAAAACCAACCAGAAAAGGCACTGCATTTCTTTACACTACCAATGACAAGTCTATTTTCAATAGAGTAATAAAAAGAATAAAATACTTAGGATTTAATTTAACCAAGGGGGTAGAAGACTTGTACAACAAAAACTACAAACCATTGCTGAAAGGAAGGGATTATATCTTTAACAGAAAACAAAATTTCCCCTAACTCTCAGTAGGCACCTATTTATATCTCCTTGGGCAGGCTGTTCGTGGACAATATTTGCTGCAAAAGTTATTTTCTTTTTTAAAAAACATGGCTATCACCTAAGTATAAAAGGATTGAGCTGAATTCAGAAAATCTTGTTGTAGCTGCGTGACAATGAGCAAATGACTCCAGATCCATCAGCCTCAGATTTCCTCCCGTGTAAAGTGCGGGTATTAGACCACATATTCACTTTTGAATCTAACACCAAATAATTCACTGTCGGGACTGACTTGATTGACTTGGCTATAGGAGGCCCATTGCTGCCTCATCTGTGAGAAATCTTGCCTCCTGCGCCCTCTGCTGGCCCTCCTGAGAATGTCAGGGGCCAGCTCCCCACAATATACCAAATGCCTCCATTTGGCCACTTTTAAACCATTCAGACTTACAGTTAAGTCCTGGACACTGGCCCAGAGACCTTGCAGGTGAGAACAACACTCATAACTTAAGATGTCCAATCTCCTGAATACTGAATTTGAGATTCCCTTTATTGGTTAAGTCAGAAAAGTTTTTTTTTTTTTTCTCCACGTGTGATTTGGCATCTAAATTCCTGGTCCGTCTCACCAGTGCAAATGTGTTCAGATTGCGGATCTAGGTGAATCCAGGAGCTTCAGGCGAACGCTGACGAGGGCTCTGAGATCCTCTCAGTGAAGGTTTCCGAAGCACTTCTGTCCTCGAGGAAGAGGAAGATGGCAGCCCAAAGGGCGTGGCTGCTCCTACTGCTCAGCTGCACAGCCAGCACTCAAGTCCTGGGGGGTGAGTATCAGCCGCTCAGCTGGAACTGAGCCCACGGCCAGTGTTCACGCGACAAGTACGGCACAGCGAGCCTCATTCGCCCCCGCAGTGTCAGGCACTTCAGGAAATAAGTGTTGGAGGCTGGAACAAAAGACAGTGTAATGCGGTTATTTTTTAAAAAGCCAGGAAATTCCAACTTCCTGTGTGTGTGAGCCATAGTTGAATCACAACTACATGTAGATTATAATGATCATTTTAGTTTACCGTGAAAGGTAGAGACGATGTGTTTAAAGTACCCGACACCTCACTGTCAGTAAATGAAAGCTGTAATCAGAACTACGAATGTTCAGACATTGCTTTTCTATGTGGACATACAGGGGATTTGGGTTGGAAAAATAGCTCCTACACAGGTATAGACCCAGCATGACACATAACATAACATGTTAACAAAGTGGGGAGCAGAACCCTAGAATCCACCAGAACAGAAAACAGGGAAAAAACTGTGTGAGTGAGCTAAAACCAATTATCACTGCATACCGGAAATGGAAGGAAATGAAATACGGGCTTGTCTGGTATAACTCCATTGTTCTATGGATGAGGAAGGGTAGAGACCTGCCCCCCGTCACTCTGTAAGATTATGGGGTGCTCTGGCTGCTGGTCCTGGGTGCCGCAGAGTCTCCAGTGGCCTCGCTGGGCATTGCACATGGAGGATAAGTGAGAAAACCAGGGCCGAGAAGCGCTTCTGCTGAGCAGAGGGCCTCTTGAGGGTGTGCAGTGCAGTCTGCGGCCCGTCACCCCTCCCGGGGGGCGTTGATCGGAAGAGAAGACAGCGAGAAGCAGGGTTCTTTGGGCATCATGTGGGTGGCCATGCTGAAGTCTGCGGCCCAGCCCCCAGCTCTCTCAACCATCTGCAGCTGCTCAGGACCTGGACCCTCCGACACCTTCTCTGAACCTGCTGGAGTGTGAAAGACTCTGGCGGGCTCCTCTTGCAAGCCGCCTTCCAACTAGTCAAGTAGTTCCTGTTGCCCTGCTTCTGGCTTCCCTAAGGCGGCTTGAAATCTGCCCGAGCTCCATCCCGGGGCGTGAGACACAAGCCCCCTGCCCAACTCAGGGATTCCACCGAACTTCTCCAGTTTCCCTCCTGGGGAAGGCGAAGCCAGAACACTCACCCTGGTCCATCCATCCGTCCCCTTTTCACAGATCTTCCTGTCAGCCCTGCACGAAGACTTTCGACTTACTCTTACTGTCTTGGGAGGAACTCTCACGACACATCTTGTGTACTCCTTACATTGTGCCTTATGGGAAAATCCAATCTTGTATTTAAGGGGAGCATGGGGAACTGAGAAGTGCCTTTTCTCTGCCCCCGAGACTCGATGGTCAAGACCAGTACCCAGCTGCCTCGGCAGTGATTTCTTTGTCATGGCCCTCAGCGGCCCTCACCTGAAACAATTCACTCAATGTGTGGACAGAGGAAGAGCAATGATCTGTGGACAATAAAACACTCCACCCAGTGAGTATTTTAAAAAATATTACACCAGTTAAAATGATAATATGATATAGCTACAATTGGTTAAGTAGCTACTATTTATTGAACAATTACTACATACCAGCTCTATGCTAATCACTGTCCATGCACTATCCCATTGAATCCTCCCAAAAACCCAATAAGGGAGGTATGTATTGTCGGCCCATTGTGCAAACAAGAAAACTAAAGCCTGGAGAGGTTAACTAATGTCCCCAAGGCCACATCTACAAGTGGTGGAGTGAACAGACTGTTAGCAGTCCAGGCAGTCTGCTAGCAGCTGCAGGCTCTTGACCCTGTGCAGTGGCAGGGGCTCCAGCCCCATGAGAGGCCTGGCCTGGGCCCCAGGCTGCTGGAGGCACGCTAGCTCTCTCCCAGGTCCCACCTCCCCTCCACCTAAGTGACCTCTGCAGGTCCCTTCACCCCTTTGAGAAGATTTTCTTATCTGTGTGGTAGGGACGTAGCAGCGCATCTGGCTCTTAGGAAGGTTCTGGTCCTACGGCAATCTGAATGATTCAGTGACGTGGCCCAGTCACCAATCGCCTTGCAGAAGCGCTTTGGCCCCCCAGGTCACGCTGCCTTGGGTCCTAGGCCCTGACTCTCCTTCCCTTTTGCTGTGCTTGCCTGGCAGGTGCCCTACGCCTCAGGTGAGCGAGTGCTTGTCCTTCCTGTGCCCACCTCGCACATTCCTGCCTCTACCCCTCTGCTCAGCCACCCCGCTTTGCTTGACACATCCCCCTCCTGGGGACTGACTCAGAGCCCACCTGTTCTAAGCATCAGCAAATTGCTGCTTCACCTGTCCTGTGTCTTCCTGGACAAACCAAAACCAAAACAAACAACACTCCCTTTGTGCAATGTGTGAAACTACCAGTGCGTGCGCCTCCCCCACCCCTGTGATGCCTGGAATGACGGCTGTTTGATCTCAGTACCAGTGTGGGGTCGTGCCTGTTGCTGAGCAGGTCTGTTCAATTCTGCATTCAGCCAGTGGGGGAATAACCGCAGGGTGGGCGCGGGGACCCACCAGGCTCACGGTGAGACGAGCCTGAGCCAACACTCCGCCAATCAGCCCATCGCTGCAAGCCCCTGCTCTGACACCTTGGCTCCCCTAGAATTAGAACCTGTTCAGAGCCAGTACCCAGTAACCCGCAACGGATCTGATGGTGACCTCTCCCCGGTGCAGTTATCCTAGTAAAAGGCCATCGTTCCCTCTGGGAAAGGCTGGGACGCAGATGCCCAGTATGAAGTGTTTTCGGCACAGGAGGGTCCTGCCCATTCAGTCAAGGGATCCCGGTCTGTAAACCGGACCAAGTGCAGACATGGATTGTTTTCGCCATTGTAACTTGTCGTTGCCTTTTGTTTATGTTCAGACGTCATCTTTCTGCACGACTGTCCTACTGGGTGGTTTTACCACAAACTCAGTTGCTACGGATACTTCCAGAAGCTGAGGAACTGGTCTGACGCTGAGGTAAGAAATGTGGCCCATGCTTGGACTGGCTTCTCCAAAGCAGGGGGCCACCTTGGGATCCGGGTCACCTTTGACTCAGAATCAAGGACCCTGCTTGGCATCCTGAGAAGTTACCCAGCCGGGGAAACAGAGAGAAGAGGGTTGTGTGCTCTGCTCACTTGAATTTTTGAGCACTGACGGAGCTCTGTGCCCAGACCCTCGATGGGCTGCAAAGATGTAAGGATGAACAAGAAGCAGCCCCTACCCTTCAGAAGATCACTGTCAGTAAGAAAGACAGACAGACGTCAATCCAAGGAGGATGAGAAGCTGAGGAGCTTATAGAAAGAATAACTGGATTGCAGCAGGAGGTTTACCCAAGAGAGCCAGGGGGTGGCCGGGGCTGGAGCACCCACCTCAGAGCCCAGATGGAAAGTGAGTCAGGAAGAGGCAAAGCTCTGTAGTCTGCACACCCCAACCGATACTGATGCACCGTTGTTGCTTCTTCCCCCGCTGAGGCTCTAAGAGCTGCCCAAAGAGCCGGACTAACTGAGTCACCTCCCAGGCGCACGGGGAGTCCGTGTCGCTGTCTCTCTGGACTGTGGCTGCTTAATGGAAGTAACTGTGGGGGCGCCTCCTGGGGAAATATGGGGTGATCTGGATCCAGAGTGGCCCCAGAACCCCTGGTATAAGCAACTCAGCAATGATGGAGCCCTTACGGCGAGATGGCCACTGAGGATACAAGCCTTCTCTGGCCTTAAAAAGCACAGAATTAATGTAAGATTGTGACATTTAAATGGAAAATTCCAATGCAGTGTGAGCATATGTGACCTCCCAAGATTCCAGCAAGAGTAATGAGCAAACCCAGGGAAGTCGGCCCAAACCCAATGCTTTCCTGAGCTGATGTGAACCAGACAAACAAGGTCCAGTGAAGGAAAAGGAGCTCACAGACAGCGATGGGCTTTCTCCTCAGTGTGTGGGAAGCAGCTGGAGGAAATAAGTCTCGGGAGGCCATTTGTATGAACGCCTGTCTCTGGAGATTCTGGCGCTAATTCTGCCGAAACATCTCTGGGGATGTGGGAGTGCCGTGGACCCGAGGTTAAGTCACGACCGATGCTCACTAGTCACACATGTACCTCACTTCACAGGATTTCTTGCTGTAAAACGGGACAGCACTGCCCTGGCCAGTGTGGCTCAGTAGGTGGAGCATCATCCTGCAGGTCAAAAGGTTGCGGGTTCAATCCCTGGTTGGGGAGTATGGGAGGCAACTGATCGATATTTCTCTCTCACATTGATGGTTTTTTCCTCTCTCTTGAAAAGCAATGAAAAAAAAATGTCCTCAGGTGAGGGTTAAAAAAATGGGATAACACTTTTACCCCTTGGGGTTGTCAGTAGGATTTATTAAAATAACTTTCCAAATGGCAAGTTACATGGCACGTGGTAGATGTTTAATTCAGGTTTTTGAGGCAAAAAATAAAAATAAAAAGGTCCACAGGATTGATACTGAGCTTTGGCAGAAATAACCATACAGAACTAGAGGACAGAGAAGGTTCTGGACACCGTGTTGCTGTGGCATGTATTGTATTGTCCTTGACAGTATTGATGGCTGGTCTTAGTTTTCGAGACTCCTAGAAGCTGCCCAAGGAGACAGTGAGGATAGAGCGAATCTCGGACTCCAGAGGTGGAGGGTAGTCTGAGTTCTGTTCCAGCTTCGTCTCTACCAAGTGTGAACTTGGAGGGAAAATATCACTTAAACGCCTCGAGCTCATTTCTTCCGCTGTCCCGGGAATTTCTATGACGGGTGCACTCACTAAATGCTGGCCGGTAGTCCGGCTTCCAGGCCTCACACGCTTGAAAGTCAAATGCAATTCCCAGTACGAAGGCGTTTTGAAATTGTAAAGTGGTGGCAAAGTGTGTGTGCTGAATTGTCATGAAACAGGAACCACACCTCGTCCCAAGCACGATCCTAAAGACACTCATTGGCGTGGCAACCACAGCCAGTCCGTTTTTTATTAAAGTTTTATCACATCAGCAGATCTCCTAACACAACTCTGAAAGAGCATAAAATAAAGCATATATCTCTATCTATAAAATGTTTCATTGGACAGTAAGTTTCTGGTTAGAGAATAGCACGTTTTACAATCAGTGACTTCTTAGATTTATTTGAAATGCAGTATTATAATGCGTAACTATAACCATAGTATCCTTCTAATGACACCCTGTGCGACAGCCATTATTTTCTGCATTATTCTCCATTTACAGATAAGGAAACCAGGCTGCAGACAGGGGAGGTGACTTACCAAGGTCACACACACAGTAAGGAGAGGCAAGACCAGGACCCCAGGCCTCTCCGGGGACCCTAAAGCTCATGCCCATGCCTGGAGCTGCCAGTTCCTCTGAGAACTGACACTTGTGACAGTGTGTTCCCTCCTGTGGTGGCGGGAAGGACAGGAAGTCTCCTGTGAGGTTAGGTTTACTACTTCCGGTGGAGGCGGGGCCATGTGAGTCCTGGAGGTCTGGCACGCCAGGGTCCTGAGGCGAGGGCTGTGCTCCTGAACCTCCGGGCATCGTTGCAGCCCCTTCTCCTTGCCCACAGCTCGAGTGCCAGTCCTTTGGAAACGGAGCCCACCTGGCGTCTATACAGGACTCAACGGAAGCCGAAGTCATAGCAGGATACATACGAGGCTACCAAAGAAACCTGTCGGTGTGGATCGGCCTGCATGACCCACAGAAGGTAAACCCAGACTCGCTTCTACAGTGCACCCTGGGGGCGGCCCGAGAGATAGCCCCTCCCCGGGAACTGGCTGCCACGCCTTCTGACCAGGGGCACGCGTAGTGGGCCTTCCTGGGTTACCTGCCTCCAACTGAGAGAGAGGACAAGGCCTCAAGGTCAAGTTCAGTTCTGGCTCTCAGTGGAGAATACAACATCCCGTGGCATCATTTAGTAGACCTTTTATCTAATTAAAGTCCTCCCAAATCTCAGAGCACAAAACTGCCGGCTTTACAGAGTCTTCAAAAAAACGTGCGTGTAAGTATGTACATACGGGTACATACATATATGTATAAACACACTCACAGGCCTGTTATGGGACCTGGCTTAATGAAGTCTCCATTAGATCTTGGCTTACAGTTGAAAACTTTCAGCTAAGCTTTTTCCTGGGCGCTATTATGCTTCTGGTGTTACCCTTAAGTTTGTGCATAGACCCTCATTTTCTTCTCTGTCCGCACCTCATCGGAAGGCATGACGTGTGAGGCCTTTGGGCTGGTTGTGGAGGTCTCCCAGGGGTCTGCAGTGTGGGGGTCCCTGGCAGGGCTTCTGCAGCTGCCCCAGACAAACACGAGGCACGCAGGATGGAATGCCAGGCTGCTTCTTGATCAAACTCTGCCAAAGATGTCACAAATATCTTTTACAATGAACTTCCCATGTTTTAATGTGTTTATACTATGATCAGCCAGAGCTCTCTCATTCAGAGAGCACATACATATTTACACTCTTTCCACTAGATAGTTTTTGTAATTTAAATTTTTTAATTGAATTACAAAATTTCATTTATGACTCCCATTTATATTTATGACAGAGGAAAGTAAGTGACAAATAAAAAGTGTTACAATGGCCCTGGCCAGTGTGGCTCAATTAGTTGGAACGTGGTCCCATACACCAAGTGGTAGCAGGTTCTTCCAGGTCAAGGCATGTACCCAGGTTGCGGGTTCAATCCCCAGTCAGAGGGCATACAAAAAGGCAACCAATCAATGTTTCTCTCTCATCAGTGTTTCTCTCTCTCTTTTTTTCTCTACCTTCCTGTCTCTCTAATGGCAATAAAAAATGTCATTGAGGTCTGACTGATGTGGCTCACTTGATTGAGTGCTGGCCTGTGAACCAAAAGGTCACCAGTTTGCATCCCAGTCAGGGCACATTCCTGGGTTTCGGGCCAGGTCCCCAGTAGGGGGCATAAGAGAGTCAACCACGCATTGATGTTTCTCTCCCTCTCTTTCTCCTGCCCTTCTCCTCACTCTCAAAATAAACAACATCTTTAAAAAATAATTTCCTCAGGATTAAAAAAAGTGTGCAATGTCTCTAGTTGTTAAAGAAATGCAAATTAGCATGACATAATATGACTTATGTTATCAAACTCTTGCTTTGTCTTAATAAATAATATTTTTAAGGCTGGGGAGAAATGGCCCAGTAGGTGGGGATGTAAAACCGCTCATCCCTCCAAATGAGCTATTTTACAAAGCAGTTTGGTGACACACATCAATACCTCCAGCTACTCACGCCCTGTGCCCATTAATTCTCTTTCTGGAATTCTGTCCTAAAAAAAAATTTTAAGTACAGAAACAACTTTATGACCAAAGTTGTGTATAGCACTATTATTTGTGATGATTGTAAATTGAAAACTATATAAACGTCAATCCTTAAGGAGATTATTAAGGTAAATTATGGCACATCCTTACTATTAAAACATGTTTAAGAAGCAAGGTACAAAGCTGAATATATATTTTAAAGATCACCACATTTTTAGGACAATAAAAATATTGTGAGGGACAAAAATGTTTACACCAGAAATAAATGTACCAAGAGATTAGTAACATTTACAGAAGGGCTTTCTATTTTCCCTTCTCACACATTCCTGAGCTTTCCCAATTTTGACAGTAGAAATTGCATTGGAAAAGGGCCCTGGTGGGGCGGCTGACGCCCGCGTGTCCTCTGTCTCGCAGAATCAGCAGTGGCAGTGGGCAGACGGCACCTCATTGTCGTACAAAACCTGGTCTGGCAAGTCCGTGGGCGCGAGCAAGCACTGCGCCGAAATAAGCTCCAGAGACGGTGAGTTCGAAGGCAGCGCCTTCACCGCTGCCCTTCTGCTGTCAGCACAAAAATGGACACTCGTCCTTCACCCCCATTTCGCAGCAGCAACACTTCTGTTCTCCAGGACAGTGGCCTCGTCACAGACATTGTACACCAGCCTCTGTCATTTGTGACTATTTCACAATCCGCCATGTCACCATATCAGCTGTTCAGTTAGTTACTTAACATTTCCTTCATATCCACTCGCTTTTATTCCTAAATACATTTATTTTTAAATCCTATTTTATACCATGGTGCTGGGGTGGGGTGAGATGTGTCACATTTCGGGAAACCCAGGCTCCAGGGAGCACACATGGGTGACTCTTCTCTGGCTTCTTTATGGTGAAGGGACCCAGACACCTGGACCTGGCCTGGGTTCTTCCCTCCTGCTGGTTTCTCTGAGCTTCGCCTCCAGACCCAGTGCCCAGAACCTCAGCTGCAGGCGGCACGTGTTACTGGAGCCTCCTCGTTTCTCTTGCGTGCCTTTCCTTCATTCTTAGCTTTGTTTGCTAATACGCTAGAGTTTTTGGCCTTGGCAGTAGGACGTTGGGATATAGTAATACTTTTCCCCAACACGGTAGGTTTAGCGTACCCTGACTTTATTTGGTGGATGCCAGAAGCACCCGCACACACACACACACACACACACACACACACACACACACACACAGGTTGTTACAACCAGAAAGCTCTCCAGACACTGCTAAGTGTCCCTTGGGGAACAAAATCCCTCCCACTTAAGAAACACAGCCAATAAGCATTATGTGAGGTTTCAGGTGTAAAACAAGAAAACAGAATAGTGAAGAGGAAAAGGAGACTTGATGCCAAGGAGAACATCCCAGTGGGTTTAAATGCTATGACAGCCTCACCAGAACTCCCCTCTGAAGCAAAGAGTGGGCCTGGGCTGGCCTGGACTAAGGACTCAGGGACTGGGGCTCAGGTAGAAGGGATGCAGAGAAGGGTTAACTTGCATCTGAGGAATAAAACTATATGCCCAGAAAAGAGCGAGAAAGCTTTCTAACAGCAAAGAATGAATGGTGCACATGAAAGAGCAAACTCCAATGCGAGGTCCAGGAAGACTCTCAGACATAAGAACGCTTTATCACGGAAGAAGGAAGGACTTGCACAGACTGACAAGCTGTGGTTAGTCACAAGGCATCTCAGATGAAAGGAAACAAGCAAGACCTGTAGGTAGAAGCTACCAAAATGTGGGTTTTTAAAATCTGAACTAAAGGAAAAATAATTGAACAATAAGCACTGTTCAAAAATGTAACAGCCTACCCCAAGAAGTAGTGAGTGAGACACTTGTCACTAGAGTTAACCAAGGAAAACTGAACATTGTAGTTGTTACTGTAGTTGCAGCCTTAGAAGTATGAGAAGAGAGGCTCAATGGCACACAAGAATCTATGGGGGCACTGGGCCTACAATATCAGAATCTCTAGGGCCGGAGGCCAGACCAGCTGGAGGGAAGTGGTAGACCAGATGCCTCCTGCAGTCCCTCCCGGGAATCCGACATTTCAACCGGACAGAGTTCTCAAACAAAAATATCTTTCCCATCAGTCCATGTTCACAGTCAAGTACCTGTTGTCCTCCAGAGTAAACCAGGTCTTCCTCTCCAGATTCCTTCACTGATTGGATGATTATCCACATTATAGCAGGTAATGGGCTGTACCCAAAGTCTACTGATTTAAATGCTACTCACACTTTTAAAAATACTTTCACAGCAACATCTAGACTGGTTTTGAGCAAATCATGGCACCATGTCTTGGCCAAGTCAGTATGAAAAATTCACCACCACACCTTACCTCTGCTCTGGCCAGAAAATGCTGCTAAGCTCAATATAGAATCAATGCATCAAAATGTTTGTTTATTTTCTTAACAGATTTCTTAACTTGGGAAGGCAATGAATGCAACAAGCACCAACACTTCCTGTGCAAGTATCAACCCACGTATCAACCGTAGAGCAAGAACGGAGATTCCCACCAGCCCTTTGCACAAGCCCTTCCTCTTCCCTCTCGGCCATACTGGCCATGTCTGATACGTGGCTCAGAGAGTAAACGCAGTACCTAAGGCTGGTGAGGTTCTTACTGCGCTGGCTTTGTCAGGCTCAGAGGCAGAGACCTCAACATTGATACAAGAGTGGGTTCCAGCTCCATGTGTTCACCCCACAATCGCTGTCCTTTATATTCTTCTTTCCCCTCCCCACTTCCATTTGGCTTGAGCAGACTAGGAGCGCACATCTGCCCTGACAAAGGAGTTGGGTGTTTGGCCATCAGGGATACAGGTTTGAAGATGGGAGGAAGAATCCAGGCAGGAGCCTCTAACCACTCCCCCGCCCTGCCCCGGTCCTCTCTCTGTTGCCCATATCCTTCTCCTCAGCCACCTGCTCATTTTCCCTTTGGCTATGGGCCCATCCACCAGTATTGACCATAGTAGGCTGATGTGGGCCATAAATTCCAGGGTCATCTTTTAAAAAAACCCTCACCTGAGGATTTATTGATTTTAGGGCAAGGGGAAGGGAGGGAGAAAGAAAGGGAGAAAAACATTGATGTGAGAAAGAAACATTGATTGGTTGCCTCTCGTACTCTCCCCAACCAGGGACCAAGCCCGCAGCCTAGACATGTGCCCTGACTGGAAATAGAACCTTCGACTTTTAGGTCTACGGGACTGTGCTCCAACCAACTGAGCCACACCAGCCAGGGTTCCCAGGGCCATCTTTTAACAGATCGATGCAGGCACAGAAGGTTGCTCTGGTCCAGTTCAGTGGTGATGGAAGAGAAAAGGTAAAATGAGACTGAGGAAATACATCCAAGTCTTTCTTCATCTCCTTCCTCCTGGTCTCTGCTTCCCATCTCCTTGAAATAGCTCCTCCTCAGGAGCAGCCCTGACTTGAAGAGAGGAGAATGTGGCGGGGGGGGGGGGACATGCCTGCCCAACCTCCAAGCAGGGGTGAGTGGCCGGGGGTTATTTAGTTCTGCAGGCTGCAGCCTGTGAGGGGTGAAGGCAGCCAGAGCAGGTGCAGTGGAGCTGACCTGGCCCTTGGGTGCTCGTCTCTTCCCTGCTCTTAACAGCCCGTGAGGCCTTGTTCGAGTCTCTGTGCCTGTGAGCTTTAAGATTCCTTACTGCAGGGGGTCACTCCAATACTGAGGAAGTAATTTTGTCCTCGTGAAGATTCGCGTCTCCTCGGGTCGGGGACCTACTTGGCAATGCGAGAAGAGACAATGTGGACTTGACAGTTACGGAAAGCGTGGCTTTGGTGTGATCACGTGTGCGTGCCTCACAGGGAAACGCCGCGGGAGAGGAGAGGACATGTGGTGGGGCCACGTGTGGACGGCCACTTGCTTCACCCACGCTGCACTGCCAACCAGTAAACACAGCGTTATACCCGGACCCGAGAACACTCCAGTCTGCTTAGAGAGTGCTGGCTGGGAGTGGGAGGAGGGTGCGCCGGGGAGGGAGATGAAGGACGGAGCATCGACCCTACCCACACCCCTCCCCCTCTCCTTCTCTGTCTTCTTCCCTCCCCCATCACACCCTTGTCACCCCTCCATTGTCAGAGAGGAAAATATCAGAAATAATGCATTTCTCCCCACCAGGCATTAGGAAACTGGTTAACCCAGAGGAAAATCTCTTCCTGGTGAGCCTTCAGAGCAGATGACAGGGAGATGGGAAGGGATCAGTCTTGTGAAGCATGTAGTTACTTCAGCAAGGGCCGCCGGCAGCTTCTGTGAGGCTAAGTCAAGGTCAGAGAAACTCTCAATAGTGTCAGACCCCATGATAGAGGTGGTAGATAAATGGGGTGTACTAGGCTGATATGAGCCCCCCCCCAAAAAGACCTTTGTTGGATCAGTGCCAGATTCTGTCATTACAACTAAAAAAAATGTAAAGGAAATTTGGATGACAATATCGCAAAAGGTAGAAATTCTCAGTATTTTCTGATGACTGCACACATGAGAGAAAAAAGAAACCTTGAGCCACCGAATTCAGTTCAATCTCCAGAGGAGAAATACTTCACAATAACAAAAAAGTAGAGATGAACAAAATAAAAACGCAATAAGTAACAAATACCACATACACCAACGCGCAACTAAGTAAACTCTTAACAGTCATTCTACAGACATATTCAGATATTTAAAATATATTTGAAAACAGTTCTAACAGAAAAGCATCACCAGCTTCAAACAGATGTGGCGATGTGACAATAGCTAAGTGCCCCCCCTGCAGTTTGCATGAGTGTGCACACACTCAGTGTGAGTCTGTGACTCTCCCAAGTGGGGCCGTGTAGTCCCTGGTCTAATTAGAAGGCTGGTCCTCTGCTGACTCTGGAACTGTGCTGGTTTTCATTTACCCACGTGGACTTTCACAATTCTTAACAATCTATCGAGGAGGTATAGTACTCAACAAAATTTTATTGAATGCCTGCCATGTGCTGAGAACTCATTTCAGGGACTAGAAATCCACTCACGAACAAAAGGAATGAAATTCCTGACCATGATAGAATGTACACTTTAGTGAGGGTGAGGAGGGGGGGTAGCAAGACAATGAAGCACATAAGGAGATAATGTAGTACGGCGAGGCGACAGGTGTCACGATGAAGATATAAGGCCAAGGAGGGGTACAGAGAGCAGGCACCTGGGGTGTGGACAGAAGGGTTAGTGTGCTTTTGGCCACAACTGACAGCCAGACTGTCTCAAGTGAAAAAGAAAATGTATTGGTTCATGTTCCCTCACAGTCCACATTTGGGGTAGATTTGGGCTTCAGGTGTAACTTGACCACAGGCTCCACGAAGTCCAGGATAGGGCTTTCTCTCTGGGGTTTTTTTGCTGGTAATTAACTTTCTTATGCAGCCCCACTGAGTTGCAAGGTTGGCTGGAGCAGGTCCAATGTTCCCCTCATCAGGATAGAGAGCCGCAGCCCTCAAACAGCTTCCAAAGAAAGGCCCGTGGCCAGGAATCTCGCGCCACATGCTCTGTCTTCCCGCAGTCACTGTGGCCAGGAGGACTGAAGGTGCTGCCTGACCAAGCTCGCTTGCATCCCATGTAACTGTCTTCAGGCCCAGGGGTTCAGGCGGCTTCACCTCAGGGAGCGGCCTCTGCTGCAGATGTGGTGCCTTTGTAGGAAGCAGGCCCCTGGCCATGAGACACGGCCCCGTGGACCCGCAGGACCAAGGCAGGCTGAACTTCGACCCCTAGCTGTGGACTTTGGGGCAGTGTGAGCACTGCCCCAAACTCCTCTGTGGCCCCGCCGACGACACACACGGCTGGGAGCCGGTGAGGTGGCTCCCGACCTGGGGGCCAAGGGCCACCCTTGGAGACGCTCTGCCCCAAGGTCCCACCACAGGATTTAGAACCAAGCGTGTGAGCTGAGACTGGACAAGCATCTGATGCCCCAAAAGGGAAAAGTCAGGTAGATGTTCTTTCCCAAGATGCCTCACTTAGGTGAACTCCAGCCACAACCTGGGCAGTTTATCATATTGGGAAGAGCAAAGGGTTTGGAATTAGGCCGCCCGGAGGCCGTGACTGCCCCCAACTGGCTGTGTCTTCTGTCTCTGGGGTCTGAGGGTCGAATTACTTAGCAGAGGTGAAGAGGCTGCAATAGGACCTGGCATGAGCGCTGAACAAATGTCATTGTCCTCTACGAAAGTCACAGGGACTGTCGTGATTAGCTGCTGACTGCTGTGACACAGGTGGGAGGACAGCGACACAGGAGAAAACTGGATTCCAGAAACCTTGCAGACGTGTCTGCCCGGCTGTGCACAAGCACATAGGAAGCAATACAGACACATGGTAGTTTGGGGGGTTTCTTTGAAGAGCTAAGATACAATTTCTTTTTTTATTATTACTTTTAGAAAGAGAGGAAGGAGGGAGAAAGAGAGGGAGAGAAGCATCGATGTGTGTTTTCCTCTTGTGTGCCCCCTACTGGGGACCTGGCCCACAAGCCAGGCATGTGCCCTGACTGGGAATCAAACCCTGGCTCACAGGCCCGTGCTCAATCGCTGAGCTACACCATCCGGCGCAGATACGGGTTCGTGAAGGGGGCACATACCAAGCACGGGTTCAAACATTTAGCACACACTTCCATCAGACATGTGAAGTCTGCACAGATAGTCACTGTATGGGTAACGGCAAAGGAGAGTGATGTGAGGGCATAAAGATTAAGCCAGAAACCATTTATTTTAAGGTTACATAGAGATGCAAATCTTTGCGTTCTTCGGTTAGATGCCTTAAGACATAGAAAGCAGAAACTATAGAAGAAAAAATGATAAATTTTACTTCAAAACTAAAACCTCTTGCTCTTAAAATATACTGCCAAAAAAACTCAAAGACATGCCATGAAATGGAAGAGAATATTTGTACAAAATACCTCTGAGAAAGGACTTGCATTTCACAGGAAGACAAACAACACATTCTTTTAAATGGGCAAAAGAAATGAATACTTCATCAAAGAACACATACAAATAGCCAATAAGCAAGCACGTGAATAGATATTCAACACTACTGGCCTGAGATCCCTGCAGATTAAAACCAAATGTAGTTATCCCAGGAATGCGTGGTTCAACTCAAGAAAACCAGTCAATCTATGTAATGCATAGCATATATAAAATGAAAGAAAAGCCTCACGTGGTTATTTCATTTGTTTTTTTTTTAAGCATTTGGCAAAGTCTATCATCCCTTTGTAATTAAAAAATTCCAGGAACTAGGAATAGAAAGGAACTTATTTAACACAATAAAGGGCGCTTGTGAAAAGCCTGCAGGGAACATCATACACAAGGCTGAAAGTCTGCACAGTTTCTCCCCAGATAAGGCAGCAGACAGCATTGCCTGCTTTCATTTCTGCCGTTCAACGTTGCACTGGAAGTTCCAGCTGGAGCAGTTAGACAAGAAAAAGAAGTAAAATTCTTTGGATCCAAATTCCAAAGAAGTAAAACTTTATTTACCAATGACATAATCCTGTTGCTGAATGATTTACCACATATTGATTTCTACAAAGCAGGCCTTGGATTTGTATCTGTTGACCCAATCAAGGTGAATGGAAGTTTCTGATACAATAAGAAAAATTTCTAACCATCCTCCTGAAATAGGAGACAGTGTCCATGATGCTTGTCACTACCAGAATCAATAAATGGAGACAAGGATTGAATCTTCATGGGCGCTTTGTTCAGATGGCCAGCCATCTGAAAAGATGTTGGGTTAATAACCCTCGAAAACCATCTTAACATCTCATTTTAAGCCTAATTTTTATAAGGACAAGAAAGCGTAGGTAAGGGGTTTGAAAAAAAGGTTAATTGGAAAAGAGTTGTAGTCCAGCGGATTTCTTTGGAACTTGGTCACATATTCCAGTTCCTGGAATAACAGCTTTCCACATGCATTAGTGATGTAAGCCTATCAACTATAACTACAGCTAAAATCTTTAGTTCTTGTGTTCCCTTTTTAATCTCCATCCTGAGCAGCAGAAGATGAGACATGAGGGAGATGGCACTGTTTGAAGAGCTGTCACTTGGTGCCTGGGATTTATAAATTGGGACTAGGGACCACAGAGGAATATGGCTGTGTCTAGAATAGTCAGTTCCAGGCATCTAGATGTGAGCTGTGGGAGATGGTCTGGAAAGTGTCTCCTGAGGATACGTCAGCCTCTAAAGGATGGGTGGCCTTGCAGAGCTGAGAGATGTAGGGAGACCATTTCGTCAGGAACGACAGTATGAACAATATAGTGTAAACAATGTGTAAGTGGAAAATGAAGAAAAAGAGTGACTTTTTAATTAGGCTTAAGGAAAACCAGTATGGGATGGGGACATTTGAGGTAAATTTGCTCACTCAGTATGAGCTGCAGGTGCTTCAAGTGTTCTCTGTTGAAGCTATATTTGTTCACCTTTCATGTGTCTGTTCCGAAACCGTCCACAAGGACACACATGAAGGAAGGTGTTAACCATGGCTGTGATGGCCTCCTGCGTGTTTTCTGTTTGCTTATTTGCATTTTTCTGAGATGAGTTTTGTCTTCCTATTAAGAAGAAAACAATCAAGGAAACATCCCTTGTGGGGGGAAAATTTACATTTGCTGTTTAGATGTTTTTTTTTTTTAATTAAGAATACCAGACATGTAATAGTAATTGCAGGCACCAGGATTTTGTCAGGAGGGTACTTCCCAAGTCCTTGGCACCAGGAGAGCGAAGTGTCCTGGTCTTCTGATTCTGTTTACTCTGTAGGATAGCTTGATCTCCTGACTTTTCCTCTAGATCCTGCTGCCCAATGAACAAGCAAAAACAGGTTTCAAAAAAGTTTCCCAATAAGTACAAGGCAGTATTTATTCTCTCTCTGATCTGAGCCAAAGCCAGATTATTGCAATTCGCCATTCAGAGAAAAACTCTTTCACCAAGTTGCAACCAAAGATGACCTGGAATACCATGATGGTGGTTTGATGTCCTAGATCCTGAAGCCAGCAGAAGTGCAAGTTGCCAAGTTCCTTCCTTCACAGCCACATGATTCTTTTTCTTATCTCATGAAAGGTTGATGACATTCACACAGCAGACACTCCCTTGATTTCCCAAGGTCCAACTTGCACGCATCAAAAGACAGGCATGACCTGGCTGGTGTAGCTCAGCGGATTGAGTGCGGGCCTGCGAACCAGACAATTGCAGTTCGATTCCCAGTCAGGGCACATTCGTGGGTTGCAGGCCAGTTCCCAGCAGGGGCCAGTTCCCAGCAAGGGGTGCACCAGAAGCAACCATACATTGATATTTCTCTCCCTCTCTCCTTCCCTTCCCCTCCAAAGATAAATAAATAAAATCTTTAAAAAAAAAAAAAAAAGACAGGCATGGGTTCCCCCGTAGAGGAAATGGGCAGTGGGTGGTGAGAGGGAGCTTCAGGACTTTCTGCAGGACGGTCCTTTTCAGTCTGTGGATATCAGCTCTTCTTCTCATCTCCTCCCCAGTGCACAAGGATAGACATAACCCCATTCGTTTACTGAACACTCACTGCGTCCAAGGCACTGTGCACGCATTACCCCACTTACACATCACCACAACCCCATGATGCAGGAACTAGTATTCTCCACACTAAATAGCAAACAAGTGGATTCTAAGACATTTTAAATGATTAGTTCAGTTTACTCAAACACTATCAGTCTTGTAGTTATGAATATAAAATGCTTTTCTATTATTATTTTTTCTTCCACTCCAGCTTCCTCCCTCGCCCTACCTTGACAACAATTCCTACTTGTGGCTGTGTTTGTAAAACATGCATTTTGCTTTGTGAATATTCACTTTACACTTACATGAAGGTTACTTGGCCCTACTTCAGCAGTGCTGCTGTGGGTACATTTAATGCCTGTGGCCAACCATCTCATGGCACTTGGTGTCGTGCCTCCAGCCACAACTCACAGGTGTCTCTCTGATGATGGACACCCAAAGCACCTTCAAGTCCCCATCGGAGTTCAGTTTCATATTTCCTTACAAAGTTCATGTCTGTTAAAGAATCTATCCTCCTCCAATTAATTTGTGATGCAATGTGTATCATGAAGATCCCTGTGTAGACCTGAACCTGCTGCTCAGTGCCCTAGTTTACCCCAAGGCCTATTCTTGTACCCAAACCACACTATGTTTGTTACTAGGAATTCATATACCTGGAAGGAGTCTCCTTAATTATTATTATTTTTCAAGTTTCGTTTGGCCATATCTGAACATTTTTTAAATATATGTTTCAGAAAAATAATCAAGTTCCTCAAAAAATCCAACTGGAATTTTTACTGGGTTTCAATGAATTTGTGGAGGAATTTTAGAGGAATAAATATCTTTATAATATTACATTGTGTGTAGAATGTTTCTCTATTTTTTCAAATTATCTTCTATGTTGTATATAGTTTTCAAAGTTTTTCCGTAGAGATATTACATAGTCTCTGTTAAATTGATTTCTAGACACGATATAGTTTTTGTTGCTATTGTTAATCGGATTTCCTTTTTTTTATAGTTCTGACTCAGTTAACACTGATATAGAAAAATCCTATTGATTTTTTAAAAAAATTAATGTTGTCTCTGACTTTGTTGAATACTTTCTTTAATTCAAATATTTTATTTATTTTATTTTTAAAAATTATTGTCATTCATTTATTTTTAGTTGAGTTTTCTAGGAAATCAACATATCACCTACCAATAAGAATAATTTTATATCATGTCTTCAGTTCTTTCAACTATCATTTCTCGTTTCTTTTTAATTTTAATTTATTTTAATTATTAATGCCATTACAGTTGTTCCCGTTTTCTCTCCCCTTCCCACCTCCACGCAGCCCCGCTCACTCCCCTCCCTCGTCGGTCCCCATGATGTGGTCCGTGACTGTGGGTTGTGCAGAAATGTTCTTTGGTTAATCCCTTCACCATCTGTCATCTGGTCCTCCTGCCTTTCTGACAGCTGTCAGTCTGTTTCACGTATCTAAGCTTCTGTTACTATTTTATTCATTAGTTTATTGTGTTCATTAGATTCCACATGTAAGTGAGATCATGTCTCTATCATAGTGTTATAAACAATAGTGGCCATCCTTGTCTTATTGCTGATATATTTTTAAAAGACTTTATTTATTATTTAGAGAGGGGGAAAGAAGGGAGAAGGGAAGGGAAAGACACTTCTATCAGAAACATCAGTCGGTTGCCTCTCACATGCCTCCAGCTAGGGACCTGGCCCGAAACCCAGGCACATGCCCTCACTGGGAATCTAACCGGGGACCTTTCGGTTTGCAGGCCAGCACTCAATCCACTGAGCTACCCCAGCCAGGGCTTATTCCTGATCCTAAATTAATGTTTCTCCTTTAAGTATTTATAGATTTTTTTTAATGTAACATTTATAAGTTCTTTCCTAGCCATAGTTTGCTGGCTTTTTATCAAAGATAGGAGGTGAATTTTGTCAGATATTTTTTCTACAAAAAGACCTTCCTTTTGTCTTTAGCTGAAGCTTAGGTACTTAAGGTGGTGGCCTGGGCCATTTTGGGGGGTTTACTCAATTTTCCGGGATGTCTCCCATGTGTAGAGGAGGTACACACCTTATTAATCTTGTTTGTTTTTCTCTTGTTACTCTGTGTTTTACTGCAGGGAGGTCCAAGAACCTAGAGGGGTCAATGGAAAATCATTTTTCCTCTCCTACAGTTTCTCCTTAGTGCCCGACAGTATGAAATCTTCCTCTTCCTTCTTCAGCACACAGGCTGTCTATTTTATCTTCTCGGTCTGTTTGTTTCCCAAAACTGTTTCCAATGGTGCGTGTCTTTCAGCATGCTGTCTTTCTTTCACAGTCTTCAGAGGATCGTTATTTTGGCATTCATGTTCTCTGGGGGTAACGGCCACTCTCTGGTGCCATGTGTTGGGAAGCACTGAAGGCCTGGCTCTGGTATGTGTGTGCATCGATCGGGGGACAAGCCCTCAGCAGAGAGCCCCAGACATTGCAGAACCACTGTCGATAACCTCTGTTTGCTGCCAGGTCACCAGGAGACATCCCTGACCAAGGTTTCACATTTGAACTTCAAAGAAGCAACAGCAACAGGAGGAAATATCGCTGGGCCATCAGTCTGGGGTTTTGAGAATGGAGGTTTGTTACAGGCATCAGCAGAGTATGATTGGTCAATCTGCACGTCTTTGCAGGAACCAGGGTGGGCTTTTACAGTGTCCCTCCCTCCCCCGCCCACTCCAGCCGCCCTCCACCCCAGGCTTCAGACCCCTTTCCAACCTCATCCCCACCTCCACTCTCGCTCTTCAGACTTCTCAGGGATTCCTCACCGCTTTTTTATTTATTTCCTTTGTAAAAGTCCTCACCTGATGATATGTCCATTGATTCTTAGAGAAAGAGGAAGAAGAGAGAGAGAAACATCGATGTGAGAGAGAAATATTGATTGGTTGCCTCCCATTCGTGCCCCGACTGGGGACCGAATCCACAAACTTTTGGTGTTTGGCATGATGCTCCAACTAACCAAGCCACCTGGCCAGGACTCTCACAGCTTTTATAAAAAATTGCTCTTCCAATTCACACTTTACTCACTTTTCTAGTGCTTTGGGGGTTGGTTTGGAAAGAAGCAGTCAGCAGCCATGTCGCCAAGTCGAAAAGTTTTCACATGATCAGATGCTGTGCCAGTTACCTGTTGGCACAATTCTGAACCCTCAAAAAAAGCAAAGGAAATCGATTACGTGAATTGGTTACTTTGTGACATATTGTTTGTTATTGGCAGGAAATGACAGTGAGCAGACAATCTTTTTCAAACTGTTTAAATGTTTGTGAAGGTGAAAGTTGCCAATAAATGCCAATGAAAGAATGATGTACAATGCCAGGGTTCAGTCACCGAGGACCACCAGTGACTGTGCCATTACTACACTGTATCTCCCTGTGTAAATATTGACTCTTCCTTCCTGGGACTGCAAGTTGCCTCACTGGCTGTGTCTGCTGGATCACCATAAAGGTCACCTTAAGCGGGGAAAGCCAAGAAACAATAAAACACCAGGTGCTCAATAATTTTCTACTGAGAAATTCCATCAGACTCCAGCCCTTCCCCCATCTTTTCTCAGGACCCCTCACCTAATTAGACAAAAACGTATTCACATTACCTGTAAGCCTCAGTACCCCTCCCTCACAAAACTCCAGATCTGAATGTCACTCTAGCTAATAAAAAAAGGCAAGACCTGCAGGAGACACGGCTTAACCAGGGACAGATCACCCGCAGCCTTGGCTCTTCCTCTCCCACAGCAGAATCCACGTGTGGTTGTGGGGAGAGAGCCTTAGATGTGGAGAAACAGCCGTGACAGCCAGGCCGTGCTGCAGCCCGCCTGAGACGTGTGGTTGCCAATGGCGACGGTGCACTGGGCCGGCCTGACAGAGTGCGTCCGCGGCCAGGGGTGTGCGAAGGATCATGTATGGTGATGCACCACGAATAATCTGAACTAAGTAAAGAGAGAAAAGAGGTCATGGCGTGACAAATGGTGACAAAGTGGAGGACTCGGTGGTGGTCCCAGTGGGAGGAAAAAGGTGGGGGTACTTTAAAAGTGAGCTGGGAAGGTAGAGGTTGTCAGAAATGGGCGGAGGGCTGAAATGTAGGACATGGTGTAAATACTGTGATGGTGAGGCCGAGAGCAGGAACTCGGAACAGGAGGCTGAAGTCGTGCAGACAGGTCCGCAGACGTGAGAACATGGGCAAGAGGCCAGGCGGGGGTTCAATTACCTATGGGGACGATGACACCTCCAAGATCTCGCCGAGAGGGTGGATGGTGGAGAGGAAGGCAGCCTTTGATCTTCATGACGAGGGCGTGGAGAAATATTGTTGGCTGACAGAAAGAGCAAAGGCCAGACTGACTGATTACATGTACTTGAAGAGGGGCTTTTGAGAGGAGGGAGATGAGTACAGACTTCTGTGTATACGTTACACTGATTCTCTCTGCTTTTATCCTTTGGAGATGGGTAGACTCCCCCCAGAAGTAAATGCTATCAAGAGTAGAACTTTGGCCCTGGCTGGTATGGCTCAGTGGTTGAGCACTGGCCTGCGAACCAGAGGGTCGCCAGTTTGATTCCCAGTCAGGGCACATGCCTGGGTTGCAGGCCAGGTGTCTAGTGGGGGCATGCAATAGACAAGCACACATTGGCATTTCTCTCCCACTGTTTCTCCTTCCCTTCCCCCTGTAAAAATCAATCAATCAATCAATCAATAAATAAATAATCTTTAAAAAAAGAATAGAACTTTATAGCTGTAGATTAGTTATGTTTAAAATGCCTACTTGTAAGACTTGCTTCTTTGGGATACCAAAATGTATTTTGTGATGTTCTAAAGCTCCTGATCTTGAAGGCTACCAAATGTTATAATGCATTTCAGCCTAAGTCATTATCTGGACGAAGCTGTAAAAGTAGCCGCAGATGGCTGGGAATCATGTCATTGGTATTAAACTCAGATATATTTCTGAGTATGTGGTTAATGCTGTTGTGAAAAATGTTTAGATTTCCTTTTACTCTTTGTGTCGACACAAAGCAGGTACCGACGCTGAGCAGGGCATGTTGCCTTGTCTGACCTACTTCGGGGATGGGGGACCAGAGGGTGGGTGTTGCTTGGCAGACAAGGAGCCCAGCTGCCATTTGAAAGCCACAGTTGGAGACAGAGCATTTTTCAGAGAAAGATTGGAAGTAAAAGAATTTTAAATGCATGACAACGCACGAAAGGCTCTGTGGAAAAGCGCGGGGTGCCAGAGCAAGGTGGCGGCCTGGGCGAGAGGGCACAACACAGGATGGATGGGGGCACAAACCTGAAGTCGAAGGAACACTGAGAAGACTCGGACTTCTGGGGGCACCTGTGTTCAGGAAAGCAAAGTCACCTCTGTCTCTCCTCCAACAGCAATCACTCGGGCTCTTCTCCGTGCCCCCCACAGGGCCGTGTGAGATGGGGGTTAACTGAATGAACTAATGAACAAATGCAAGACCCTCGTAAAAGATCGAGGTGCCGTGAGAGAAGGGCGAAGACAGAGATTCACTGGAAGATCAGATAACAGGAACCTTTTTATTCAGAAGAGCAGAGTGGAAAGACCGGAATCTGGAGTCAAAAGACACAGATGCATCTGCAACCTTTCACCTACTGAGCATGGGCGTGTCTTTGGGAAAGTCTACCTCTGGCCTCATCAGTAAAGCAGATCTTTCGTTCCTAGAAGGCTTTCAGCTTCAAGTGACAGTCACCTCTTTGGGGCCCCTGCACTTCTATTGTCACACTGACTGTGTTCCACTAGGAAACTGTGTAGAGCTAGACAGATACAAGGATGACCATAAAGACAGGAGAAATAGAGTGGGCTCCATGCCCTTTCTGATACCAGCCCTTTGCCTATGTTCCAATACTCTCAACTACTTAAAGGGCTGCTATCATTCCTTTTGGTTTTGAAAGATTCTTCTTATTATACATAGTACATTGAAATTATAACAGCTGACTGTACAGAGAGCATTCTGGACCTCGAAGTAAGAGTCACTCAGGTGAGAGCTAGGTGGACGCTCAAGACAAGCCCGGTGGATGTCCCTTCAGACATGTTGCCAGGAGCATCATAGCCACCTGTTGAGGCTGGACATGACTAAGGCGGCCGCAGGAGCCTGAGAAAGGAGGAATGAGAACTGAACGTTCCTGCACATGCCCAGGGTCAAAACGACTACGTACACGTCAGAGAGATGTTTTTCTTTGACCTGCCAGTGTTCTGAGCGAGACCTCTGGCCCAGTTTGAGAAGCCAGCTGAGCTTTGATAGGCTGGGCCCGACTCAGAGGGCAGGTGTCTCGGGGCTCTATAAAGCACCTGAGCACCTGACTGAGCACCGGCGGGCACCTCTCCCAAGGACTGCGTGTAAACTCTGGCTGTCTACCTGCTCCTCTGAAGATGCAGCGGCTGTTGAGTCCAGCGAAGCGACTTCTGCAGGTGAAGAAAGGGATGCAGGAAGCACCCGCCATGGCTGCTAGCCTTCTCCCCACAGTCCTCCAAAGGTGAGTCACGCTGTTCCCAGGGACCGTACCAGTCACTCACTCTTAGAGAAGTGTCATGGAACCAGTAAAAGATAGGCAGAGGACCTGCCATAAGGAAAAGCTCACTAGAATCCAAGTCACCTTTCAAGGCTTGTGCACAGCCTTAGGTAAGCACATTAACCTCTCGTGGCCTGAGCTACTTCATTTCTAAATGAAGTAGCCCCTCACAGCCATGGAGTTCCAGGATCTCCAGCCTCTGGCACCTGCTGTTTGCACATGTAGACATCTGTCACTCTCCTGGCTGCCTGAAGCTGTGGGAATATCAGCACCAGGGCCCTCAGCCTTCTCCTCTCTGCCACCCCCCCTCTGCCCACAGCCTCTGCCAAGACCCACAGGGTCTGTGCCAACTGCAGTGTTAGTAAAATCAGCAGCTTCAAGTTGCATAGCAATTAAAAAAGGACTAGGGATAAGAAGTGTCTTTCTCTGCCCTCCAATTTCATGAAAGGGTAAGATGAAATCTAAAGATGTGTTTGTGTGCATGCATACGTGTGCCATCTGCTCATGCAAGAAGTACCTATGCTCTCCTTTCTTTGTAAACACATCCCCAGTCCGTCCCTGAAGGTCTGCAGTGTGGACCGTAACTCAGCTACAGCTGGTCCCCCAGGGCCCCTCAGCCATTCACTGCACGCTAGAACCAGCCCTTTCTTTCCTGCCATTTCTACACAGCATTCCATGGACACTCAGAAAAATAACTTTGATCTAATGTTTTAGTGTCTTCCCTTGCCTGGCACACGGAGAACCGGGGTGTGTGAGCGTGTGGAGGGGGTGACCCTCCTCAGCCTTCCTCTCTCCTCCATACTCTCCCCCACCTCCGGTACAGATCAAATGTCCCAGCTCTGAACTGCCTCAGCTTCTGTATTTGTGAGGAAGGGGATGATGTGCGTTTGTGTGTTTCCATAAGCAACATTCGGCTGCCCACCAAGAATCGAACCTCGGTCCTCACTAACCTGCCCCTTCTGCTGATGCTCTTGGTTGAAGCTCTTGGAGTCACCATCCACATCTCCCTTGTTGCTGTATTCACAGCCAATCCCATTTTCCAGGGTCTGAATAAGTATTAAGAATCTTCTTTGTGGGTCTTTTTTCTCTATTTGTCTGTCCCCTCCAGATGAAGCCTGCATCGACTCTGAAGCCATCCTCAGAGCTTGCCCCGTCTCAGCATGGGATTCGCTGCCTTGAAAATGAAGGGAGACTTGTGCCTTCCACCCCGTGGTCCCCAGCTGCTTTCCTTGTGTGCTGTCTGCCTGCTCCCTTTCCTCTCCACTCCCGGTGTCCTTACTTGTTCAGTCGCCCCCAGTGTGGCCACTGCCTCTTCAAGCCCCCTCCAGTTCTTCATCAGCAGGAGCTCCACTCATCCCTCAAGGTCAATCTCAAATGCAGCCTCTTCTACAAAGCCTCTCCTGAGCCCCGCTACAGGGAATCTGCTTCCTTTGAAGTCACGGAGATTTTTCCCATCTCTCTCTCTCTCTCTCTCTCTCTCTCTCTCTCTCTCTCTCGGCTCTGATTCCCGGGTGGGGATGTGTATACGTGCCCGTCGAGTTTCCCCCTCTGTCATGAGGTGGTTCCCCCCCTCTTTTCTTTGCCCACTCCCTTCAGCCTGCAGCCCATCCCTAGGGGAGGCTGTGCCTGGCATCTAAGCACAGTGCCTGGCATCTAAGAGTTAACTTTGAAACGCAAGGGAAGGAGAGGAGAGGAAGTAAGGACATAAAACTCAATGTTCTCGAACCAAATGACTCCGGAACAAAATCAATTTTAAAATAAATAAAATGATTATTCCATAAAGAAAGTACAAGATGTGAAAGATAGATACTCTTAATTCCAGTGGTCCGATATTTCTGGAAACCTCTACATGTTAACTTTTGCCCTCTACTCAGTTACAAAAGTCGCCACGTGACCGATTTCTAGCTGGGAGGAGAGGGAGGGAGGCCGAGGCTGATGGGGGAGGCAGCCAAGCGCAGACAGGCCAACCATTAACCCCTGGGTAGTGGGCAAGAAGCTCCTCCACAAATCTGGGGGAGCACTAACTCAAGTAATTGGGGGGCACCAAGTAAAACGTGAGGATAACTGACCTCTAAACCCCTCTTGTCAGATGTGAGCGAACGTTTACCACTTTGCCCCACTATCTTGCGATCACAGGGTCCGTGTGCCTCACAGCCGTCCTTCCGAGTAACCGTCCTGGTGGAGAAGGGGCGTTAGCAGAAGCCCAGAATTCTCAGCACAACTGACAGGCACACTCAATCAGAGCAAAGGGCTACCTGTATGAGTCTGTGGTGCCATCCTGTCCCTCCTCCATGGTCAGAAAGTCTGTAGCCAGATACACTCCGGAGTGTCACTCACACCGGACGGTGAAGGGACGGGACATTTCTGACACAGGATGAGCTGGAATGTCGCTCTGAGTGCAAAGCCTCACTCGTGAGGGCCTTGATCTCACCACCTGCAAAGTGAGGGCTGTCACTAAAGTGGCTGGACTTGAGGTGTTCTCTCGTGGGAGCAGGGGGGAGGTGGGCTGGGTGAGCTCTGTACTTGCAGACGGAAGAATTCCTGCTTTTCAGCAGGGCCTTAGGAGTCAGGGTGGGAGACAGGTGGGCGGGTCCAGGAAAGAAGCAGAGTCTCTGTCTTCTTCATTGAACGCTTCCCTGGGTTTTCGTGCCACCACTTAGAATTCCTCTCTACCCTCTGCATTCTCACAGCCTTTGCTTGTTCCACCGTGTGTTTATCTGTAAAAATATCTGCCTCTTCCATTAGACTGTGCCCTCTTGGTGGGCACAGAGCAGGTCTCGTTCACTCCTGCGGGTCGGGAGCCCAGCACTGTGTTGAGTGTGCGCAGTGATAGCGGGAGGGAGGCCCCATTCTGAAAAGCAGAGAGGGTGAAATCGAGCAGAAAACTTCTTTAGAAAGTAGAAAAGCAGTAAGTATGCTCTCGTATAGAAAAAAAGGAAGAAGAAGAAAAAGGGGAATGATAGGAACAGTTTCAAAGTGAATGAATTCTTTAAAATTATGTCCTATGGGGTTTATATGTAGCAGAGAAACTACATGACAATAATAGCTCAGAGGGCCGGAGAGAACAAACGAGGCTAAACTAAGGTTTTGTTCTGTTCATAAAGCATTAGAAGTATTAAGTTATATGCCACATGTGTATATTGTAATCACTAATATCGTTACTAACAGAAAAAGAGGAGGTAAATACTTGCTTAATCCATAAGAGTACAGGAAAAGAGAAATAAAAATATGTGAGGCTAATGGAAACAAATAGTGGCATGAAAGACTTAATTCCAACTATGTCAGTAATTGCAATAAATATAATTGGATTAATTACTCCAGTTACAGCTGGAGTAATTGTCAGGTTTGTTCAAAAATTAAAAAGACCCCACTACCTGCTGTTTAGAATAGATGCATGTGAAACACAAAAACCACAACAGGTCAAAAGAATAAAAGAACAGGAAAGGATATGTCCAGCAGACAGTAATCGAAGAACGAAGGCAGCTTTACTAACACCAGGGAAAGCAGATGGTGTGGCGAGAACATCACACAGATAAAGAGGGACATTTAATAAGGAATAAAATGATCAATTCCAGAGAAATAGAGAACAAGTCTAAATTTGTATTCTTCTTGTAACATAGCTTCCAAATACATTTTAAAGTTGAGCAAAAACGATTGCCGTATTGTTTTTTGAGGAGACTGGCTAGCGACCATTCGTGGGATTCTGATTCTTATTTCCGCTGCAGGTTTTCTACAATCCCTGCTGTCCCCTTGGCTAAAATGAATGCTTGGCCAAAGGATGTGGGCATCCTTGCCATGGAGGTGTATTTCCCTGCCCAATACGTGGACCAAACAGACCTGGAGAAGTACAACAATGTAGAAGCTGGGAGGTACACGGTGGGCTTGAGCCAAACCCATATGGGCTTCTGCTCGGTGCAGGAGGACATCAATTCCCTGTGCCTGACAGTGGTGCAGCGGCTGATGGAGCGCACGAAGCTCCCGTGGGAGTCTGTGGGCCGGCTGGAAGTGGGCACCGAGACCATCATCGACAAGTCCAAGGCTGTTAAAACAGTGCTCATGGAGCTCTTCCAAAACTCAGGCAACACTGACATTGAGGGCATAGATACCACCAATGCCTGCTATGGTGGCACTGCCTCCCTCTTCAATGCGGCCAACTGGATGGAGTCCAGCTCCTGGGATGGTATGTGAGCCAGAGGTTTTACGTAAGAGAGGAGCTGGGGTTGCAGATTGAACCCTTGCTATTGCTTCTATTTCCCTAGGCGGTTTCATCCAGAGAGGGAGGGAGGGACAACTTATTGACACCACAACTGTGATAGTAACTGCTTAGACTTGTATAGCTTTATACAGTAATGAGGTAGCAGGTTCATATAGCCATTCATTTATCTTGACCACATCCCAGGAAGTGGGCGTTATCCCTTATTTATAGATGAGAAAGTGGAAGATCTGATACCTTACATATGGTATGTGGCAAGGGTAATACACCAAACCAAATCCAATGTATTTTCCATTTCACTGTCCCTGTTTCTCTAAAGCTTCTCTTCAGTGTCTAAGAATGAGAGATTGGTGATGTTGAAAGATTTAAACAAGTTAGATGTTAACGGGGGGACACCCTGATAAAAACCGGCCCAAAGAATCACAGGACAGACTAATTACAGAGTATTTCTGCTCTTTCTCCCTCATCTGATTCTTAGGAATTTGTGTTTGCATATTAATATTACCCTGTACCTTACTTATGTCTTTCTTCTATTGCAAGAAAGAACCCCTGTTGTAATAGCATGAGAGGACCAAGAGAAACAGTTCAAGTTGAGAGTTAGAAACCTAGTTCTGTGAATAACTATTGACAAAAACTTTACCCTCTTTAAGATCCATAGTTCTTACTTGCCTACTTGCTTGCAGGACTGGTAAGTATTGAGTAAGATTCCCACGGAGGTGAGAAATAACAGTGGCCGGGCAGTTGAGGCCCTCGATGTTTAACAAGGTAGAAACTGGACTTAAAACTTTGGAAACCATAATGAACATTAATTATAAAATTCACTCTGAAGCCTTCATGTTGGCAGGGGCCTTAGGGATGATCTCACCCAATGTGATTTATTTTAAAAAGAGGCCAACAAGTGTGCAACAGTTTGTCTCTGGTCCCACAGCAGAGCAGTGAGACGCCATGCGCCCATTCGGTGTTTCTTCGGTTGCCCCCTCCCCCTCCCCCCCGTAGCCTCTTGCCCATCGATGTGGGATGTTCCAGCCTCTACATCATCAAGTCTGTTCGTACAGTGCTTCTCCCACTTGGCACTTACGTGACTACCTCTCCAGCAGCCCTTATTACCTTCCTCGCCAGTATGTCCAGCCAAGCATTTTGCTGGAGTGTAGAAATAAAAGGCAAGGGGCCCTTGCCAGCCTGTGAGCAGCGTTCAGAGCCTAGACTGGGGACACCATCAGCTTGAAGCACATCATTGCAGATAAGAAAATTCTGCTGCGTGTCTGGGCTTTCCACAGGGCAGGCTGCAAATGCATCTTCTTTAATACGAGGTTATTGAGATGAGAACTGTCAGTCTGTATAAAAATATAAAGCATATTTAAGCTGGAGCCTAATGGCCCAGACAAGGCCAGTCCAGTGTCAATGAGATAAATGTCCACTCTGGCCTGACCAGGCATCCACCTGGGGGCCCTCCGATGCGGGGAGGTGGACCCCTGACAAACAGCAGGTAGTGGCTCAGAAGACCTGGGAGTCCTCATGCTTTCTTGTTGTTTTTTTTTTAAATGAAAGCAATTGAAATTTATGCTTACAAAACATATGTACATATACAAAAGGGTGTAAAGTGAAGAAAAAGTTCCTTTGACACCTCGTCACCACTTCTCAGGATTTAACACTAACAGTCTCCATGCATTCTTCCAGATTTTTTTCTACAAAGCGGCAAGGAGACACATCTGTTCAGTTTTAGTTTTTGACATTATACTGTATGGTGTGCTAGAGGTTATTTTACATCAATATATATGAGGTCTGCTTTGTTATTGTAAAAGCTACATGACAGTCTATTCATTGATACGCCAAACTGAATTGGCCCCATATTGATAAGTATTTAGACTATTACAAGTTTGGTGTTGTTTTTTTTGCAGTTACAAATAATGTTCTAATGCACATTGTATGAGCTTTGTATGCTCATTGGACTGTGTCATAGGAATGGATTTTTCCAAAAGTGGAATTGCAGGTCTGTTGTGTTGGTTTAAGAGTTTGACAGAATGGGACCAATTGCTCTTCAAAATGATGTGCTAAAGTATATTTCTACAGGGCATGTTATCAAACTTCGTAGACAATGTTGTCATTGCTTTGTCCTTCTTTCATTATAAGAGAGCTTCAATAATTTTTGTGATGTTTATTGGCATTTTCCTATTACATATTTTGTCTTTTTTTAATGAGACTTTCATAAAAGAAGAAAAATAGCTTTTTGTTGATTATAAATACTTCCCCACTTTTTTTAGTTTGCTTCTGATAGGTTTTAATTTTAAGTAGTTAAATTTACTAATTTTTCTCTTAATGACTTCTCAATACGTACATAGAGGTGAATATAGACATAAATATACAGGTATACACATTTGGAAAAAACACTTTTTTTATTGGGGATGGAGTGGTCATAGTTCTTAAAAGAAGGATCTTGAGTATCAGTGAATTTGGATTAGAATCCCGAATGAATTCTTATGGTGCCATCTATCAGCCGTGCGGCTCTGGACAAGTGGCTTAAGTTCTTTGGGCCTCAATTTGGCTGTAGAAAGGTGACAACTGTGTCTGATATATAGGCTGATCATGAGAATTAAATTATGCACAGATATGGCTCCCAGCATAGCACTGCCTCCTTGGATGGTGTGAGACTCCTTTGGGGATAACTAATGTCTAGCTAGTTTTTCAAACGTTAGTTTCCCTCCCTACCTCTTGGCCATCTGCAGGAAGGAATTTCAGCCACAGAGTGGCTAATGGTGATGGGTACAAACCTAAATTACCTCCTCAAGTGCCGATTAGCACATTTTTTCATTGAATTCTGTGTAAATGAGCATTTTACAGCTAGAGTAATGGGACACTGAGTTTTGACTTTGCATTTCAAATGCACCATGATGCGTGTGTTTCACCAGAATGTTAGCTCCATGGGGCGGGGATCCTGGGTCTTGCTCCCTAGTCTGTCTTCAATTCCTGAAATTGAGACTCACATACAAGGGGCACCCAGTCCACCTGAGATTTGGTGGTGAGGATAATTGTTTCTTGTCTGTCATTACAGGTCGCTATGCGGTGGTGGTCTGCGGGGACATTGCAGTGTACCCCAAAGGAAATATTCGCTCCACAGGCGGGGCCGGGGCCGTGGCAATGCTGCTTGGGCCCGAGGCTCCCCTGGTCCTTGAGCGAGGTCTGTAGGAACCTGCGGGTGCATGGCACTGAAGGATTGTGCACAGGGCAGCCAAACGCGTAGCTCCTGATCCTAAATTGGCAGACCAACTATGCAGGGTGGAAGGATGGATTTGAGGATATCACTTGCTTTCAAAAGGCTGGATGGGGGACTGGGGAGCAGAGGGCAGCAAGAACAATCAGGGAGGTTCCTCTTCTGTACCGTCACATGTTGGGTTAGTGATATGTGGAATAAATGATGCTGATGCTGTCAACAAGGACCTTAGGGAGCTAAACTGGCTGGGGCTCGGAGATGAAAGATGGTATTGGGTATAAAGTAAAAGCCTTTCCTTTCAGACTTTTGGCACCTATTCCAGATGTTGTTAAGCCTATATAGGTGTGGAGAGAGAAATATAAGTCTCATTTATATAAGCACAACAATCTGTTCAACTTCCTCTGTACATGTGAGGGATGTTGAGTGGGCTCAGGCGTGGGCGTGAGGCAGACAGAGAGCAGGAGACTTTGCACGCTGCCGTTCCCGCATCCCCTCTGCTCTACGTGGGCTGCACTGTGCAGTCCCTGAATCCCAGTGTGTGCCTTGCCAGGGCTTCGGGGAACCCACATGGCGAACGTATACGATTTCTACAAACCAGACGGTTCTACAGAATACCCAGTGATAGATGCGAAGTTATCCATTCAGTGCTACTTACAGGCCTTGGACCGATGTTACGCAGTATACCGTCAAAAAATCCAGAACCAGTGGAAGCAAGGTATGGGGCTCGGGGGGGCAGAAAGTGGGGGCTCTGTGTACCTGGAGCCAAGTGTTTGTCCTAACAGCTTAAGACCAGGTCTCTTCTCTCCTCTGAAAATGATCTCATGAGAACTGTCCCATGTCCCCTTCTTCTTATACCCGTCCCTGGATCTATGCTCAGGTGTACTTGAATGTCATCCAAGTTCAAGTATGAAAGTGCCTCTAACTTGAGCTAAATAAAGCAAGTAAGTAATCTAGACCAAAGCCACCAGTATGAAAATAGTGAGTGTTGGCCCTGGGGAGAGGTGCTCTGGTAAAGTCGGAGCCGCTCTGTCCTGCTGGGCGGAGGATTTGCTTCCACTTAAGTCAACAGCAAATTGACTCTTGGTGTATAATTTGCCACTTTTAAAGTCTGACTGATGTTGAAAAGTCTTACCTGTATTTTCGGTATGCTATTATCAGTGATTTTTCTCCAGATAGTGGTGTTACAAGTTGATTTTATTTTCACTTTCAGTTTCTAGTTTTTTCCTGCTTAAAAATATGTACTGCTTTCATAATCAGAAAAGAAACACATTTTATTTTTAAAATACTGAGAAACCTACTTTTGGAATTTAATAAGAGTTTTTACCTGCTTATCCACGCCCGGATGGCACCCACCAAAGGCAGACCGTCAATGAGGCAGGGGACAAGTGCGGAAGCGCCAGAGCGTGATGCTGTGGGGGTGGCAGAAGGAGCCACTTCCTGCCCCTGTGCACTGCAGTGGGTGACTTGCCAGCCGCCACAGCCGCCCCCCGTGGGGGCGGAGTCAACCCAGACTCCCTGTCTCAGCCCACCCACTGTAAAGCTGCTATTGGCTAATCTCTTTCACCGACTCTAAATTCTTACTGCGTTCTGATTTCACTCCACATTCTCGTATGGAATTTGAACGATGCTGCTTAGAAGTCAGCACTAAACTGTAAACTTTCTAAGGAGGGAGGATGCGTCGCTCTCCTCTTCGAAGTGAGAAAAACAGTCTGGATCGTTGAGTAGGAGACTTGGAATCTTAATCCAAAAACAGCCGTTTTCAGGCTGGGTGACCTTGGACATAGAACTTAGCTTCATATTTCATGGACATTGTTTTCTCCTCTGAACGAACTATAGAGAAAACAATAGAACACAAGGTTGACTGGGAGGAATTGCCTGTCATAAAGGTTGGCAATAGTAGATAGGAAGAACATATTTATTTCTTTCCCTTCTTTCTCTATAAGTAGGGTGCTTAGGGAAATGCTTGTACCTTAGAGTGCTTGCTGGAGGCAGGACCCAGCCTCCCTCCACACAGTTAGATCTTGGAGCGAAGGTCTAACTGGAACACCCTTGTTTTCATACTTCCTCCTCCAGCTGGCATCGACCGACCTTTCACTCTCGATGATTTACAGTTCATGATTTTCCACACACCCTTTTGCAAGATGAGCCAGAAATCCCTGGCTCGCCTGATGTTCAATGACTTCCTGTCCACCGGTAGCAACACACAGATCAGCTGCTACAAGGGGCTGGAGGCCTTCAGGTGAGTCCTCTTTGTGGGGACCATAGAAGCTCATCAGCGGTGAGAAAGGAGGGGGCTTCCCTGCACCTTGAGTCTAGCCACCAGTCACTCCCGTGGGGAAAAAAGGCCACTCCTCCAACACAACAGAAATGACACCGAGCCTTACCTGGGTTATTGCATTATTGTCTACACAGGGTCCTCCCTCTTTTACCTCTGGGAGTGCAGGGGGGCTGCCAGCACCTCTGGGTCAAGTGACTGTAAGAAGCTCCAGAGAATAAGAAAAAGGAGAAAGTATGGCTCTGCTGGTTAGTCAGTAAACATCCCATGAACTTCAGCTATGGGTCAGGCTTCATTCAAACTCTAGGGACACAGGAACAAATGTGACTCCATGATCTCTGCCTAGAAGCTCTCACAGTTTATATGGACAGACACACCTAGAAGTAAATCATCTTAGTACAGGACGGCAACTCACTGTTGGACCGGGAGTATCCGGTCCATTCTCACTCACCATTGACCTCATTAATGTCTGGCTTATTGCCTCAATTTACCCATCTATGCAATCAAGATAGCCTAGTTCTCCCTCTTAGAGGTCAATACAGCGGGAAGAATGGCATTTATTGATACATTACTTGAAGATATTTGGAAAAGAAGAATATTTAATACAGAGAGTTCCTACTAAGAGGAGAATGTTCCCTTTCTTCTTGATAGCTATTCAAGTTTTGTAATATGTAATAGGCTACACCTGCCCTTATTACACACTACTAACTACTACTAACTCTGCCACTAACTAAAACACTAAGATTAGCACAAACAGTGCTTATGAAACCTGCTCCATGAAAAAAATATTCTAACATGTGCTAAAGATAATAGCTTGATATCTTTAATATAAGAAAATCTCATCAATAATAAGGTAAGCACTTCAGTAGAAAACTGAGCATAGGATATGAGTAAGAAATTTCTTCAAAGAAGAATTGCACACAATCATATTTTTCAATGTGCATGCTCATTATAACAAAGTTAAACAAGTTACCCTGTTCTTTAAGCAGCCTTTTAAAATTTGAATTCCCAGAACTGACGAGGCTGTGGGAACATGGGTGATAGTGGATGTATAAATCCATACAAGGATTTTGGGGAGCAATAGGAAATCATGAAACAAAGGGCTTAAAAATGTGCATACCTTTTAGCTCAACAATTTCACATGTTTAAAAGAACATGTAGCCCTGGTTGGTGTAGCTCAGTGGATTGAGCGCGGGCTGCAAACCAAAGGGTCGCCGGTTTGATTCCCAGTCAGGGCACATGCCTGGGTCGTGGGCCGGGTCTCCAGTGGGGGCCACAGAAGAGGCAACCACACATGGATATTTCTCTTTCTCTCTTTCTCCCTCCCTTCCCCTCTCTCTAAAAGTAAATAAATAAAAAAATTTAAAAAGAACATGTAACTTTTCACTGTAGTATTTTAACTGGTGAGGACAGGACTGGGCAGATAGGTCAAAGTAGGGCCAATCCCACCACGGCCCGTTCTTGCAGCCTTTAAAAATAATATTATAGGAGTGATTTAACCTATAGAGAAAGCAGCAAAAGACACATGCTTAACAGAATGGAACCGTGATTTTACTTCCTAATAAACTGTGTGAAAGTAGAGATGGATTCCACAAGAAAAATAAGGACTTAAGCGCTCTCTCTGAATGGCAGGAATGTTAGTGAGATTTTCTTCTTTGCACTTTTCTGTATTTCTAAATATTCTGTAATAAAAACATGTGCCCAAGGGTCTTCTCTCCAGAAGTGTCTTTTTTCTCCTTGCTGCCTCCCCCCCCCCCCCCCGTGGTCTCTCACCCGGCCTTTTGCTCTGGCTGCCTCACAGGGGGCTAAAGCTGGAAGACACCTACAACAACAAGGAGCTGGAGAAAGCTTTGCAAAAGGCCTCTCTGGACATGTTCAACAGGAAAACCAAGGCTTCCCTTTACCTCTCCACGCACAACGGGAATATGTATACGTCGTCGCTGTATGGGTGTCTGGCCTCACTTCTGTCCCAGTGAGTACTGCATCTGGTCCGAGGGGTCAACCATGTTTGGTTCCTCTTCTGGTTCAGAATTTTTTTCTTTTGGGAAGGAAGAGAGGGAGGGAGGGAGAGGGAGGAAGAGAGGGAAAGATGAAAGAAACTTGCTTTAAAGGTAGGTGTAGGAGGTTCACTGTCAGTACTAAACAGTCATCTCCAAAGTGAAGTTCACATATCAGGGGATGTGCAAGATCTACTTGATGCAGCAAGAAAACAGAAGAAATGTTGTGCACATTTTTACCTCATCCATTAAAAATGCTATACCTTGTAAAACATAGGGTTTAAGAGAGTCCAGCTTTAGATCCTACAACCTAGTTTCAAATCTCTTTATCACTCATTAGCTTTGACCTTGGAAGAATACTCCACTTCTATGTGCCTCCCTCTTCCCATCTATAAAATACATACAGCAGCGATGTGTACCTTCTGGGGTCTTGATGAGTGTTAAATGTCTAAAGCAATTAAGACTGCTAGGCTCAGCAGATGCTCAGATGTTAGTTGTTATTTCTATTGACATTCTATTTTATGGGTTTTTTGGAGGAAATACTTGTACTATAGTACATGCATACACTATAGTAGATACACACACACACACACACACACACCCCTACACACTGACAAAATTACTACTAATGAAGGCATGGTAAGAGTTACAAGGGCTGAAGCATCGCCAGTCACCATGGATGCCTGAAGGTGGCCCAGTGGTCCACTCAGAGATGCCTTCAGAGTTCGCTGGCCTTCACTTATCCTCATGGGGGGCAGGAACCCCCTTTTCCAGCTTGAAATGTTGTTACATTCACTGTGTCTTCTGTATCTTGGATCTTATCTGCTCTCTTCTTGGCACATTTTTCTCCTTCTGGGCCCACCCCCAGCGTCCAAAAGCCCCTCTTTGTGTAGAGTGCTGGGAGCTCATTGCCAGTTGCAAGAGGCAAACTGCATTCAGCCGATAGGTTGGTTGGTTATTAGAAGCACAGAACATGATGCCGATGTGTTTCCTAGCTTTTGATTTCTTTCCCTGCAGGCACTCTGCCCAGGACTTGGCTAGCTCCAGGATTGGGGCCTTTTCCTATGGCTCTGGCTTGGCAGCCAGTTTCTTTTCACTTCAAGTGTCCCAGGACACTTCTCCAGGTGGGTCCCATCTTTCTAGCAGGCACTTCTGGCAAAACTCATCTGGTAAAAGGAAGGAGTTTCTGCCTCACCAGCACTGAAGCTCCCAGTGTGTTTAAGAGCAAAGGAAACCTCTAAAAGGATTTGAGCAATGGAGTGAGTATGTCTAATTTATGCATTGGAAGCACTTCCCAGCTGCTGCTGAGAGACCAGACTGAACAGGAATGAAGGTAGATATGTATGGGAAACCAGTGCAGGCAAGAGTAATGACAGCTAGGTTGCAGCTGGTTAAAGAGAAGTAGATACCTGGTCAACAGTTGTTGATAATTTTAGGACAAATGTAACAAAAGGAACACATCTACTTCGACTAAATGAGCATGTCTGCCCTTACCTTCTGCTAGTATCGTGTTTGCTGACCTTTCTCATTTCTTGGCATTCTAAGCCACACACTAAACAGTGTGATTTCCTTTGGGATTTGAGCTTCCACAAAACCTCGCTCTGTGCTCGATTGGTGACTGGTAGCAGGGATAATGACAATGAAGCAGGTTTTTCCATCTTGCTTTTGCTTTCCAGGGTCCCCCCTGGAAAAGCTGGTGTCTAGTATGTCAGACCTGCCAAAACGCCTTGCCTCCAGGAAGCGCGCGTCTGCTGAGGAGTTCGCAGCAGTGATGGAACAAAGAGAACAATTCTACAACAAGGGTAAGACAAAGGCAGGAAGGGAGAAGGAGAAGGCAGTTTTCCTCAGATTCTATGCCAGTAGCTGACAGTCAGGGATGCGTCAGAAGTCTAGAATAAGGTGAGCCAAGGTGAAGCAGTCTCTAGAATATGATTGGGAGGAGATCTGTTAGGTGCCAAGGGGCAAGGACTGGGTAGGGAAGCAAATAACAGAGTTGGGAAGAGGTAGCAGGCAACATGTGGCTTCTTGGTATGAACTGGATATGAACTTCTTGGTATGAAAAATGGGGCAATGGCCAGTGTGGTCCTATGGAGGCCAGGGGTATGTATGGTCTTTGAAAATGCCATTTATCTAACACTGGAAGAGCCCAGACCTTAGAGCTAGATATCCAAATGTACACTGACCTGTGACACTTACAAGCTCTGTATCTTTGGGAAAATTACTTCTCAGTCATCTCATTCTTAAATCATAGCAACTTTACCCTGGCTGGTATGGTTCAGTAGATTGAGCACCAGCATGAGAATGGAAAGGTCACTGGTTCGATCCCCAGTCAGGGCACATATCTGGGTTGCAGACTGCTCCCGGTTGGATGCGAGAGAGGCAACCCACTGATGGGCAACCCACTGATGTTTCTATTGCACATGGATGCTCCTCCCCCTTTATTCCTCCCTCCCTTTCCCTCTCTCTGAAAATAAATAAATAAAATCTTTTTAAAAAGATACAAAATAAAATAAAATCACCCCAAATCTGGCAGATTGCCAAGCAAGTGAAGTAAATTAACATATTAAGTTATGAACAAATTTGACTGCCTTCACTCAACTGCCCTGTCTCCCCACCAAACATAAAAACAAAATGTTGCCCCAAAAATAGCAACAAAAGAAAAGTAAACCAAAGCGAACTGGATGCCTGGAGAGACCAGACGGTGATTTTAAACTCATAGTAACTGTATCTTCTCAAGCAAACCTTGAGACACATGGTTTGCAATGGGACAGAACCTACGGAATCGGGAATGTTCTAGAAAACCTCAGTGTAGTCGTCTTCGATCTCATCTGGAACAGGGGACATGTTTGAGCGAAGAAGAGAAGAAATAAAAATAAAAACAGGACATCCGAGATGGACACTGGTGGACAAAACACCGAAACACTACAATAGATCAGAACCAGAGAGCTTACTACTCGGAAGTGTCTATGAGGAAACAGGAAGCTCTGAGGCACACCTGGAGCTAGGTACCGTTGACAAAAGGACACGATGAAGATTTCCGTGGAGACAGCATGTTCACTGCAGGGAACTGTCATACTGCTATGATGCAATTTCTCATAGCCCAGCCTAAAGCGCTGGATCCAGGCTGGCTGCTTCTGGTCCTTCTGCTGGTCCAGAGCTCTGCTGGGTGTGTAACGGAGGACCTCACACCCCTTGCCGCACAGCCAGGAGAGCATCACCAGGAAGCCATAGGCGTCTCTGTTACTGTTTTTTCCTCCCTAGCCACATACAGCTCTTTTTAAGTGCTGCCTCTTCTCCTCATTCCGCAGTGGACTTCTCGCCCCCTGGGGACATAAAGAACCTTTTCCCAGGCACCTGGTACCTGGAGAGAGTGGATGGGCTGTATCGCCGGAAGTACGCCCGCTGTCCCGTCTGAAGCTGGTGAGTGACATGTTGCAGGGCCGATGGCGAGAAAGCTTTTCCTCTGAAGGCAGGTGAGGTTCAGACTGCGTAACTGGACCCGGGAAGGTGGGTAGCTCCTGAAATGACCAGGGGTGGGGAGTCTGTACTATGGAGACTGAGGAAAACACTTAGGGCTCTTTGTCCTGGAAAGCCAAAAACACAGGGAACAAGCATATTCTTAAATCCTGAATGAAAAAAAAGTCACTTGTTTATCTGATCTGCTCATGATAGGAAGCTCCCCTAGAAGCTTGATAAAATAAAATTAGCACCCATAAGCAGAGACGGACTGTGACCATGAACCCATGGAACTCATCACCCAAAGGGGTAAGATCAGGAAAGGCACATACCAGTGCGGGTGGGGAGATTCATAAAGAAACGGGGTCTTAAGGAGAGAGAGGAGTTTAGGGGAAAAGAATTGAGGCCGGAAGAGGGACTGGAGAATTCTTTAAGATACTCTTTAAAGGAAAATCAAGTTTCTGGAATTAGAATCTCGTAGTTCATGGGCCCAGATATTGGCTTTTAATTTATCTTCCGAGTTGGTAAGATCAGCAGAAGAGTGAGAAGCAATTTCTTTTACAAACCTTACATCTTGACAAATACAGTCCCCTGCCCAATACTTCCTCCATATTTTTCTGGTGGTTTTCTTGTTTCCCTCCTTTGGTGGATGAAGGGGGAAGAATAAAAAGGTTTGCCAAGGGCAAGGTGTGGAGCAGGAGACCAAGAGGGAGGAGTCCACCGATAAAGGAGGCACTGAGATAAATCGGAGAAACTACCGGCTGAGGGGCCGTTCCGCTCACTCCCGCCACGTTGGGGGAGGGGGGGTCCTTTGGGTGCCAGACCTTTGCTGCTAGGCTGCTGAACAGCCGGGATGTCAGGGGCCAGGCCAGGCCGACTGGGGGCTGCAGGACGTGTTGAGAAGGCAGGTTCACCTGATTTCAATACTGCCACGGAGTCTTGCTTGCTTGTTTGAAATACGATACTTAAGGGAAAGTCAGTGGCAAAGAGGGAGCTGTTAAATGCATCAGGTTAGTTCCAGCATCAGCGAGGGGGCAGGGGAGGAAGAGAGAGGCAGGGGAGAGAGGGAGGGAGGGAGAGAGAGGGAAATGTGGCTTTTTCGAGCAGTGTTTGGAGAGAGAGGGGGAAGGGAATGTGGGATTTTGAAGGGAGAGTTTCGAGGTCCGGCTCCCTCCTCTTCCGGCCGACAAACCTCTTAGGCAGCATTGAGCCAGCAAAGGGAAACGCGGCAGCTCCTGGACTTGGGTCGAGACTCTCACTCACACGGGATTGAACCTGCGCCTGCGAGGTTTTAGCTGAAATAGGACTTCGAGTCACAGCAGTGCTCTGCAGAGTTCCAGCCGTCTCGGCACTGCCCTGGCCTGCTCTGGCTCAGGCAGACTGTATCCCAGGGACTCTTCCAGCCTGGGCTCCCCAGCACTGGTCACAGGCCCCGCAGGAGTCAGGGCTCAAAGCTGGGGGTAGGGGAGCAGGGGGAACGCCCCAGACCTCAGGATGAGTTTAGGAGAGGCCCTGCACACAGCGCCACCTCTGCAAGAAGCGGGTACCAGGGGGTGGGGCTGCCACGGATGAAAGTCACCATTCAATGTCCTTTTATTGTTTCTTTAAATTCTACAGCTCCATGGAGCGTGGTCCCTGGGAAAAGTGCGCTAGCAGAGCTTCTGCCCACGAATCATGTAAAGAAAAACAAACAACGACCCAGTTGTAAACAGATTGGATTGGACACACCAGCCCGTAAGCCCTGGCCCTGTAGAGTGACAGTCACCCTCAGTGCGTCCTTCATGCCTTTTCCTGCTGTAGTCACTGTCATGGGCTTGTGGCTCTGTGGGTCAGGGGCCCTTTGAGAAAAAGAGGGCAGGGGAAGAGGCCTGGCCTTGACCTCCAGAAATGGGACAGATCAGTTGTCTCCAGGATCCGGATGACTTGCCCATCGTCCATTGTAGCTTTGCTTTTATTATTATTACTAATTTTCTGTGCTGTTCTGTCTTTATTGTTTCTTTCAGTTTTCTGTGAATTTCTAAATTTTATACCTGGTACTAATATAATGGTACTAAGCTAATATAACACTACTAAAAAGGTAGAGAAGAGAGGGGGAAGAGGTGAAGGGTGTCTCCATTGTACAGCATTAGATAAGAACTGGACTTTGGCCCTGGCCAGCATGGCTCAGTTGGCTGGACCGTCGTCCCCAACCAAAAAGTTGCGGGTTCGATTCCAGATCAGGGCAACATACCTAGGTTTGAGTTCACTCCGTGGCCCGGGCGTGTACGGGAGGCAACCAGTCAATGCTTCTCTCACACATGGATGTTTCTCTCTCTCTCTCCCTTTCTCTCTCTCTAAGAAGCAATGAAAAACATGTCCCTGGGTGAAGATAAAACAAATAAGTTAATTAGACTTTGGGAGGTGATAACTTTGTAGTGTATACAGATGTCGAATTATAATGCATGCTGTATACCCGAAATTTATATAATAAATAAAAGTAAAGGGCAAGAGAGGCAACCAAGCCCCAACTGTGCACAGAAACAAAAATCACAAGCAAGAAAATGAAATGAGCTACTCGAAAGAGAAGAGGAGGAAACAATTCTTCTATTTCCTGGAAACCAGAACATAAAAAAAAATCACACTGGCTGCTGGACGGAGAGGCAGAGAAGCCTGCCCCGCCCCCTGGCCCCTGGCTGGGAGGCCCCTCCTGACCTTGACTCCCCCACAGCCCTTTGACTGCTGAGCTCGCACTGCCCAGTCCCCCCTCCCCGTCACTCTGTTCTCTGAGAGGCTCTGGGGCAACATGGGCAGGGAAACACACTGCCCGGCCCCCAGCTTCCTTCCCTGATCTAAAGATGTCCCACAGAGGACAGCCAGCGACAGGGGCCGCAGTGACTGCCCGGAGCTTGCAGATCAAAGCTCCTGGTCTTTATCAGTGTTATCTGAACAAATAAACACAGGGCAGAGGTTAATAGGTCAACTTTTTGGCTCCTCCAGCCAAAAAAAAAAAAACCCACATTGTTGCTACCTAGTAGGAAATTTCTGCATGAGAGGGTTGTTTGTACCCCTTGGGCTCAGGCACTGCTTGTTCCAAGATTCTTTTACAAAATCTCCACAGTTTGGGGGAGTGGGGGCTGAGGTGAGGAAGGGCCCGGGAGGAAGGAGAGGACGCCAAATTCTTGTCATTCGTTTTCTTTTAAAAAGTTTCTTCAGCCTCCCTAATGAGTAAGTGCACTTTGGAGGAGAGACTGTTCCCATCGGTGGGAGGCAGGGCTGGCTGGGGGTGCCAGGGATAATGGGGCAGTGACGCAGGGAAATGAGGTGCTGGGCCCGCCAACTTGGCTCTTTGCCCAAGGCTGTTCCTGTCCCAACAGGCACCAGAAAATCCAAGATAAGCCACAATTTGAGCCGCTAATCCAGCAGCAGCTGACTCCCTTCCCAGGCTCTGCCCAGGTGCTTGCTCAGTTCCGGCTTTATCACAGGGGGCCCGCAGCTGCCCCTTAGCAGCCCCTCGCTAACCCCTGCTCCCCCCGCCCCCGCCAGCTGTCTGGGGGCCCTCAGTCTAGTCGACATGCCTGGTAGGACAATCCATGCCTTTCCCAAGATATTCCAAGTAGTGTCAGTGGCCATGGGAAAAGCGCATATTCACCTGCCCTCGAGGTTAGAGACTCGGGGACTTGCCTTTGTCGTTTACTGGGGGGCTCTTGATGCTCCAACTGCCTCTATCAGCCCCAGCAACCTAGACCTTCCATAGCACCTGCTGCCGGGGCCAGAGCAGCGCCCCCTCAGCAGTCACGTGGACAGAGCACAGGGATGATGTCAAAAATATTTAACAAGGAGGGTATCAGGGTGCCGACGAGTGAGTGGGTGCTGCCCATGCCCCTGCACGCCTGCTGGGGATCAGCCTGGTTCAACAAGGCGCACTCAGGATGACACTGGTCACTGCCACCCTGACACAGAGAGAGGTTCCCTCAGTGCTCCTTCTTCACTGACTTTGACCCTGAGCCCTAGGCCTCCCTCTGGCTGCTCTGGGGTCCATGTCGTTAAAGCAGACTCCTGCGGGTTCCAAACAAAGCCCTCTCCCACTGTGTGAGGTGGACTAGGAGGGAATGATTTTCCGGTGGCCCATTGCCATTTCACTCTAAGGACAGCTAACATCATGAAGAGAAAGAACTCCCCAGTGTGGGCAAAACATCAGCCAGGGGACGGACCCCGAACAGGAAAGAGGAAGTGGTTCCGAGACTAGAACATCGAGCCGTGTTACACTCATCCCAAGCGGGAGCACGTGACATGTGATGGTAAAACAGATGTGGAGAATGGTCCCTCCAGCCCACTGACCGCCAGACCACCTCAGGTCTCCAGGCGGTATACTGAGCACACATACACACGTGCACACAGGATTTCTAAATCTCAGCGTCCGGGAATTCTGAGGCCAGTCCCCTCCTGCTCCAGCATTTGCTGCCTCCATCACTGAGCTTATGAGAACCTTCTGGCTGAGGGTCTTCCGTTCTGAAGTCAGGCAGTACAGATGCCACAGAGTGTAGCACAGCGGAGCAAACGGCGCCTCCTGTGGAGCACTGGCTGGGTTCTTCAATAATCTTGTCTTTTGAAGTCTGGGAGTATTTACGTGGACGGTCACTAAACAGGGCAATGCAGTGAAATTGCCCCATGCCTGGATGTGCCACTCACGTCTAGGAAGGTTCTGTGGGGTGCTCATGTAATTTGGGTTTCCAGAATTGTTCTGGCCACCTTAGCACGGAATATGGTTTGTCTAAGGAGTTTTGAGGGAAGAAGAGGCTAAGGGGCTGAAAATTGAGCTCGATGTTTCATTTCATTAACCCCTGTTTTTAACAAGTGACCCCTCACCAGATGCCACGTGGTGCACAGATCTCTCTTCAGTAGGAGGGGGTAGGTGACCTGAGCTTTAGGACACGCTGTCCAGACCTGGCTAAGTGTCAGGCCAAGGTCAAGGGGAAGGCTCTTTAGTGTAAGGAGTTCTCTGTAAAAGACAGACCTGCTTATCTCCTTAAAGGCACAGGAATGAAAGAACAAGCCTTGCCAACTGTCTCTGTTACTTCCCTAAAACACTGCGCTGAAAAAATCAGAGCCTACAAATCAGACCAACCCTGCTGGTCTCGTTCTGGCCCATCCCCTTCCGGGCCCGCTGCAGCGAGGTGACATGCCAGTCCTCTGAGCTCACTGCCAAGGCTAGCACAGTGGCTCCTGGTGGCCCTCCTGCCACCCTTTAGCCCAGCCACAACACGGAGGCCGAGGCGGAGGGTTCGCTCCTGTCCGTGCCTATCAATGCCCTGTGCCAGGCTTTAAACCTGGGCAGCAGTCTCAGAGAGAGACGCTGCCAGGCACAAGGCAGATGCGTCATCCCCTACTAACAGGGAAAAACCCTCAAAAGGTGAAACCCTCAGGATCAGGGAGCTCCATTCTGTCATCTTCCATGAAAATCATCTTTAAAAAAAGATCAGCCCTGGCTGGTGTAGCTCAGAGGATTGAGCGTGGGGTGCAAACCAAAGGTTCACAGTTCAATTCCCAGTCAGGGCACATGCCTGGGTTGCAGCCCAATCCCCAGTGGGGGCCATGTGAGAGGCAACCACACATTGATGTTTCTCTCTCTTCCTCCTTTCCTTCTCCTCTCTCTAAAAATAAAAAGAAAAGAAATTTAAAAAGAAGATCAAATGATATACTCTCCAACCCATACAGAGCTGGCTTTGTGAACTTGCCTTATCTTCTCATGCCCCGCACCTTGCTCACACTTTCTTCCCTCCACGAAATCCTCTCAAACGTCCCAGAGAAACCATCCTCGGCTGGACTGCTCCCTCCCCTGGGCTCTGCAGAGTCCCCATGCCCCTGCTGTGACACCTCACTCAGTGCTCCCGGGTGACCTGTGCCTGCCCGGTCCCTCCGCCAGGGGCAGACTTCTGCAGAAGCCTAGGGTGCAGCGCTCCTCTTAGGCAGATCACCTATTTGTTCTGCGTGTGTATAGTCCCGGATGGAAGGATCAGAAACCTGGAAGGCAGCAGGGAGATCCCCTTCAAGGCACCTGCACCCATACCTGCAGTTTGCCCATCCACATCCTCCGCCCTACACCCCAGCCTCCTGTGGCCAAAGCCAACCCCTGGCTGCCCATGGACACCTCCTAGTGGCCCTTGTGAGTAATGACAACACAAAGACAAGGAGACAGGGTGGGCTCTTTATTAGGTAGTTATTGCTGTGCTACAAGGGTCAGACCACACAGGCAGCGTCAGCCCCAGGCATGTGCTCTCCCACTGGTGGTCGAGAAGCCCCCAAGGCTGGGCCTGGTGGGTCCCAAGGTTAGAAGTGAAACTGGAAGGCCTCGGTCACGTGTTGCTTCCAGGTGTCCAGGCTTGGCAGCGGGGAGGAGATGCCCATGACATGCCAGGTCTCCCCCTCTGACACCACTGAGGTCTGGTAGGACACCAGCTGCACACCTGCCTCTGCCAGGAGCCCTGGGAAGAAAAAACCCCTGGTCAGCACAGGGCACGGGGGAGGAGGAGCGAGGGGCTGGGAGTCTTGGATTGCTGTGATCCAAGCTGCAACCGGGGGTGACGGTGTCGGATGCATAGAGCCAAGTGAGGGAACACCCTAGCAGCTTCCCTCGCTGACCTGGAGGCTTCAGAACTCCCCGACCATGAGGCAAGGTGGGAAGGCACAGCGCTAGTGCAAGAGCCTGACTTGCAGGCTGCCCGATTTACCCAGACCAACAGGGAGAGAAACGCAGGGGAAAGTTCCTCCGGGCAGCTGGCCAGACGGGGAAATGAGGCCCTCTGAGGACACTCTCTGCCAGGAAGTGCCCTACAGCTCCCAGCGGCTGCGGTGCCAGGGCACTGGGGCAGGTGGGGATGCCCGACAGGCTGGCTGCAGTCAGAAGGAAACCCACCCTCTGTGGCTGAGCTCCTGGGATGCGGCTCCGTGAGCAGGTCCCCACTGTGCACTTCACACGGTGAGCAGCCCAGTTAACAGGGGCTCTGAAGTCCAACCCCTGTCACACTGCCCTGTGGCCATGCTCCCCTGCAACCTCAGGTAAGGCACCTCCCTCTGAACTCTGTATCTACTTCCCAATGTCCTAGAAACCGGCGTGACAGACCCTCTGTCTTCTGCAGATCCAGAGATGCCCTGAGGCTGGAGGGGAGCTGAAGGACACTGAGGTCTATGGAACCCAATCCCAGGACAGGACACCCCCTTCCCCAACCAACCACCCCTGAGCCTCAGGATACCGGCCAGCCCCGCAGGCCCCTCCTCACCAACCACCGTAGGCAGCAGGGCAGGACTGGAGGGCTGAGCCCGGAACAGGAGCAGGGGCAGACCCCTGCGGAGAGGCACTTCTGGTCTGAAGACAGCACCGTTGAGTGCCTGCAGCACGGGTGTGGTGCCCTGGACCAAACCTACAGCCTGGTAGGGGGCACCTGCCAGGGCCACGGTCAGGAGGCACTCCCCGCAGCCTTGCTCTCCCGGCACAGCAGGGTTGTGGGAGGTGATTACCTGCAGAGAGAAGGCAGGAGACAGGACACAGTTATCTCTGCTGTCTGCACTGCACCCACCCTCTCCCTCGGTCCCATGGCCAGTTTGTAGGAGTTCAGCCTGGCCAACCTGGTCAGCAATTCAGGGGTGGGGGAGAGGGCCAATGGGTGAATAAGCCTTGAGCCCCTGAACAGCAGGCTCCTGGGACAGTCCAGTCAGTGGCCCCCACAAGGGAGGCTGGGACTGCCAGGTACAGGTAACTGCTTTGAGGGGAGTAGGAGCGAGGGAGGAGAGAGAGAGGCAGGGCTGTGAGGACCTGGGTTAGCGGGTCTGCCCAGAGGGTGGCCCAGTCTAGCCCCTCCTGTTCACGGCTTCCTACACACAACCAGTGGCCTGACTGGAATGTAGAAGTGGAGGGGGGGCTATTGAGAGCCCCATTTCCCACCGCTTCTGGCCAGCTCCCACTGGCTGAGAAACATGGACTTTGATCTACAAAGGGAACCAGAGGGAAAGATGCCAAAGAAAAGCCACGGGGGCAGCAGAGACTAAGAGGGTGTACTGACAGCTCCCGCGGGGCTTTGCAAGCTAAGCAAGAAACCGGTTTTGTGGTGGACGGAGCACTGGCGGAGTCAGAGGCTGAGCGCGCTGGGCTCACTCCCAGCCTCCGACCAGATGCAGCCTGGCTCCTCCATTTCCTTGGCTGAGAAATGAGGTGCTGCCACAGCGTGTACACGCACAGCCCTTTCACACATATTAGTCACGCGCAGCAATGCTCGGAGTCAGGCGGTATCCCCGCTTTGCAGACAGAGACTTAATTTACGCCACCTCTCCAGTGTCAGAGGCAGGACTGCACTCAGGGCCCCGCCCACCGAGCAGGGCTGTGAGCAAGCTCTGCAAATGCAGGGGGAGGAGAAAGGCAATGCCCACGGGGCGGAGAGAGGGCAGGTGGGCACCCACATTGAGGCCAGCCTCCTTCACCAGCAGCTTGGCATTCACCAAGTTCACGTCTGCCTGATGGGAAGCGTCTTTCAGAAGGCCGACAATGACTGCAGGGCTTAGGCAGTTTCCAGCATTCTTCAGGGACGTTCCTGGGGACAGAAAAGAGGCTACTGTAAGGTCACTATTTACTGAGCAACATGGGAGGGGCAGGGGACGCCAGCACCCAGCGTTGGGTCACAGGCTCCTCACTGCATGGCTGGGGGCCCGAGGCCAGCCTGCCTGGGCAGCCCTGAGTCCCCTGGGGGTGGAGACACAGTGGGTCAGTAGGCCTGGCCCTGTCCAGGTCAGCACCCTGGGTCACTCTCAACCAGTCTAAAAACTCCTCTCCAAAACTCAGCCCAAATCCAGTGCCCTCACGCACCTGCCACCCTGGCCTGCTCGTCATCCTCCAAAGGGACACCTGAAAAATCTACTGCTCCACCCCTTCTTGGCACTCAGACCCCTGTTGGCCTCAGAAAATGGAGGGAGAAGGGGGTGACTGAAGCAGCTGTGGTCCAGTTCCCTGTCTTGTTACCTCTGGGGCCTTGCCCGGGACCCACAATGCTCTGGGCCTTCCTGCCCCAAATCCAGTCTCTCCCCAAGAGAGTCCACACCCAGTCATCAATGGGGAGGGCCACCCTCTGCAAGACTTAGGGGACTGGGCACCTCTCAAGCACATCTGCAGAGGGCTGGGCGCACTGCCAAGGTGTCTGGAGCCTGCTCAGTCACTGATGGGCTGACGGGGCGCTGTTCGGTTCCCACACCACAGCTGAACAAATGCCCAAGGCCATCGGCCAGTCCCAGGGCCCATGTTAGTCTGTCGCTGAGCACAGAATGTCCCTACCATCTCACTGGTACACCCACCCTGGCTCTCACTTCTCACAGGGAGGAACTCACAGCTCAGAGAGGGAAAGTCACCAGGCAGGCACGCGACAGGCCAAAACCAGAGTCCCAGCCAGGACCCCTGCCGCCAACCCCACTGAGCCCCGAGCGAGGCCGTCTCCATGGAGGTTTCTCTGGCACCCCAAACACGCACACCTTCAAAATACTGCACAAACATGACTTGTGGAAGTGAAGTCTATTTCCCAATGACTTCGGTGCCCTCTTCTCTTGTCCCGACTCAGTAGCAGATGAGTCACACTCAGAATGGGAGACATGGAGTCCCAAGACCAGGGCCACCTCGAGTTCCTCACTGTCTGATCTGCAGCAGGCGGACCACGTGGAGTGCAGAGTCCGCGCCCCTCTCCCCGCCCCCTGCGGCGTCCCCAGCTCACCCTGTGTTACCACCTGGATGGTCCCTTTGGGGGACCCAGCCCAGGCTCGCATCAGTGTCCCCAGAGCCTCTGCCAGGCCAATCCAAGGCTTGGTGTGCGGAGAGAAGGCGCTGGTGAGGGCCTGGGCGTTCACCTGCAGAGACAGGAGGTGGGGCTGAGGATGAAGAGGTCGGACCGGCACACCTGTCCAAACGCGGTCCGTTGCTGCCTTTCGGTGCCTAGGGGCTGACAACTGCCATCGGCCAACAGCAAGATCACCGCCTGCTGCCATAGCCGAGAGCTACAGAAAAGGGCAGCAAAGGCCAAGGCCACTCCAAACTGCCAGAAGGGGGGCACTGATTAGGGGGGCACTTCCCCCTCCTGGAACCGAGACAGCCCTACCCCCCCATCACTTGGACACAGCGGGGCAGGTCTCTCTGGGTGGCATTCCTAATATGCTTTCCTATTTTTCATTTTGAATCTTGATTTTTTTTTGTAAAAAAGGAAGTATTTACATTGTCATTAAACACTTTGACGAAATTAACAAAATGTATAAAGCTGGATGGATTCATATACTTTCGACGACTCCATCTGTCTTCAAACACGGACCCCTGTGAAGCCCACCACAGGCACGTGGGCCATTGAAGGGGGCACATCTCCTCCTAAAGCGGTGAGTCTGGGGCCCGGCCAGCTGGACCCCCACGGGGATTTGGTGACAGAGCCAGCTTATCCTGGGTCAACATTCCTACCCCATGTTGTGATTCAAGAGGCTCTGGCTCCGAGTTACGCACTGGCCACGTTCGTGAGACACCTTGTAAAAAGAACCACCTAAGAGGGATTTAACTAGAAACCTGGGTTTGACAGAAATCAACAGGCTGCTACAAGATGTGGGGAACAGAAAACAGACGCTTGCATTCCTGTTTCATGAAAATGTAACTAGCAGGGAATTAGAGGATAGTATCGAGATGTCGGAAATGACCAAGAAGACAGGGCTTCCCCCCCAGACACTGCCGTGTGGGCGGCAGCCTGGTGAGGGCCTTCCCACCCAGCGCTCCCCTTGCTCCTCTCCAGGGGACCCAGAAAAGCGCAGCAGTGAGCCAGGAGATGGGACAAGAAAAGGCCGGCTGCTGGGAGCAGAGCCAAAGTGTCACAAAACAGCTGGGTGGCCTGGGACCTGTGGCAGGTGGAGGAAGGTATGCAACTAAGAAGCTTCTAGAAGCAGGCTCCCTACCTGGATTCTGACCTCTGTGCAGTACCGGAAGAGCCCAACTCTGCCCGATACAAGGAGGCCCAGTCTTTTCTAGAAGGCGAGCAGGAAGGCTCCAGGAAGCTGGGCGCCTTTGGGCCCCAAATGAACCCTGATTAGTGTCTAGGGTTGGAACACAACTGGGCTGAAGAGGACACGGTGAAGAACCAGGGAGACAGTGCCTAGCCCAGACCATCAGCTGCTTTGGGTGGAGAGTCAAATTTGACCAAGGGACATTTTACCTCTAAGGGTGGGGACAGTTTGTGGTTCCAGGCCATGCAGCTGGTGTTAAAGAGTCAGTCCCCTTCACAAAAAGGCCCGAAATGCCACTGCTACCTAACGACAACGTGACTGTCTCCCAGGGGCTGCAAGAGCGAGGGCAGAAACCTCTCTAGCAGTGGCTGAAGGGGAAAAGCCAGGCGCACGGTGGCTGCCAGTGGTCCCCGCCCAAACCTCAGCCTGGGTCCCGAAGAGCATCACCCTGAGGGGCCCTCCTGCAGGGCAGCAGCTGGTTCCTTATTTCACAGGACGTGGAGGACAGGGGGGCCCTCAGAGCTGGGCTGTCCACGCAGGGCAGGAGGGGCCGAGCCAAGGAGCCTGTGTCTCTCCTGCCACAGTTCTGTCCTATCACTGAAGATCCCTGCGTGGAGGGTCAGCCACTAGGGTCAGGCTGCCCCCCCCCCTTAATCTTAGAGCACTGAGTAGACTCATGGGAGGAAGGGGCAGATCGTTGGGGCAGGTCAGTCCCCACCCAGGGGCCTGTGACAAGCGGTCAGGGCTCCGAGGTGAGAATCCCCTCCCTCTCACAGGGCTTTCTCCACAGGCCATTGCACACCCCACCCCCATGGCACTCAGCGCTCACCCCAGCCACACCCCCTCCCTCCCAAGGCACGTGGAGAACAAAGGGGCCTTTCTCCGGACTCTGGGCTCCGCGAAGAGCTGCAGCCTCTGTGCAGGGCTACAGTCTATCAGGGTGGAGCTGGCGCCTGGCCTGGGCTATGAACATGAGGGGCAGCCCGACTCCAGCCACCCCACCCAGAGGCTGACCCCAGTGGAATCCCTTATCTGATATCGGCTCCCAGAGCACCACACCATGGCTCGTCCCTGCTGTCCCCATTCCCATCACCAAGACTCCTGCTCCCTTCTCGGACCACGGGCACCACCCCCCCGCAGATACTTACCACCCCCATCAGAGATTTCCCCTTCACCATGTCCACAAACTGGACGGCGATTTCCTCCCCGCAGCGGCTTTGGGCCTCCCTGGTGCTGGCGCCCAGGTGGGGGCAGCTGATGACGTTCTCGTGGTCCACCAAGGCTCGGTCCCGTGGTGGCTCCTGCCCAGAAAAAGACATCTCTGCTCGGTTGCTATGCACTGCCCAGGGCGTGAGGGAAGTCGGAGGGGGGCAAGGCGGGAAGGATGTCGCTGTCTATTGCACTTCTTTTTTGTCAGGGTGGTCGCTGGACTCCATAACTGGCTTCCTCATGGACGCCCTATCACAGCGAAGTTGTGGATAGAGCCGTGGACCACATTAGCATGTGCCTTTGGACAAATCTGCATCCTGTGAGCCTGTTCCCCGTCTATAAAGTGCATTAGTGCCATGTACCTCATTAACAGCATCATGGATGTAACGCTAGAGGTTCAGAAGCAGCAGTAACTATTGTTGTGCTGTTTTTCCCTGAAACCCCCTCCCTCACTGCATCTTTGTATCACTTACTGTCACGCTCCCTGCAGGTGCGCCACACAGTGGTCCCTCACGAGGACAGGCAGCTTGCCCGGTGCCTCCACCCCTCTGCTCACTGAGCACAAAGGATTGCCCTTGGGAATGTAACTTAGGCCTTGTCCGGCCACTCAGGCCAGGGCTCTGTGGGCTCCCACACCACCCTGTGAGTCCCAGGGTGTGGCACTGAGTGCTCTGCAGAGGCCCAGAGGAGCAGAGAAGGCGTGGTGCTGGGGAGACAGCCAGGCACACCCACCGTCAGGAACCCCACGGTGTAGCTAAAAAGGGTTACCAAGAACGTAAACCCAGCACACTCTGCATCCTGGGCAGGGAGCGGACACTGAGCGCTGCCGGGGCTCAGGGTGGGCCAGGGACTCACCAAGACCGCGTGCTGTTACACGTGCAGCAAACACCCACGGCCTCACCCAAAGCCCACGCCCTTTCCCTGGATGTCTGATGGTTAAGAGAGGCTACCAGATTCAAGTGGAAATGCACCCTTCATCACTCTGTCCACTGTGAGGGTCGGAGGGAGACAGGGAGAGCAGTCCCCCCGGGCACTGGGGGACCCGTCCAACCACTGTCCTGGGGCTTCCCCCCTACACAGAGGACAGAAAGAAAAGCCAGTGGACACTGGGTGGACCAGGGGTGGGATTCGCTTCATCAGAGATCTGAACCTTACACAAAACCCTCTCTCTCCCCACCTGACATCCTCTACCTCGGAACTGACTTGCCGTCTTCTTTGAAGTTACCAACGCAGCCGCAGCTGAGCACAGACCATGGGTCCGGTTTAAAACTCAAGTTTTGTAGGACAACGTGGCTGTCACTAGACCAGACTCTGCAAGGGCTCCTCCCAGCACGAAGGTGCTATTTTTAGTATATATATATATATATATATATATATATCCATTCCTCCCTTTTATCGCAGCCCCTGAGACCCTGACTAGAAAGGTCTCTGCACCACCCTGAGCCCCCGGGCTCCTGCCTCTCCCCTCCCCCCACCCACTGGTGGTAGACTTACATCCGTGAACACGTCCAGCGCGGCCCCTGCGCAATGGCCAGACTGCAGGGCCCGGAGCAGGGCGCCCTCGTCCACGATCCCTCCGCGGGCACAGTTCACCACGCGTACCCCCTTCTTGCACTGGGCGAAGGTGCCGTCATTCAGCAGGCCTGGGGGGGAGGGGAGAGCCTGCTTGCAGCGACAGTACGGGGACCCCACTGCCAGGACCCAGCTCCAGACACCCTTCCCCCACCCGGCTCTTTTGCACAGGCCTCCTTCCTTCGGGACAAGAGCCTCTCTGGTCTCACCTCTCCCTTGTCAGGGACTCGGGGCCAGTCTCAGTTTAGAAACACACTAGAAATAAGTCCCTTAGCTATTGTTGCTCCCCGTGGTGTGGGCACCAGAAAGGCCTGTCGTGGCCCCACAAGTGTCTACGGGGCACTGGTCGCACGTGTTGTCCCAGCTCACCCAGACACCCGAGAATTCCCTGCGGGCTCACCCCTCCCCTCTGATGCCGAGGGACCAGCGTCTGGTCTGCAGCCTTTGTGGACAGGTAGCCCACACCTACCTGTCGTGGAGGGCAGGAGAGGGGTGTGCACAGTGATGAAGTCACAGAGAGGCCAGATCTCCTCCAGAGGCAGCTGCTGAACGCCGAAGGAGGCCGAGACCTCTGGCGAAATGATGGGGTCATACCCTACAGTCTGGTCATACACGAGAGAGGGAGGGAGTGTCATTATTGATTATTGGTACGTGTAATATTAATCATGGCAACCGCTGCGCACTTGCCCTACACCAAGCACTATGCTAAGCCTTTGGCCGACACCAGTTTACTTCTCACAACACATCGGGGTTGGGGCTGCCCTCCTTCCTACTTCAGAGCTGGGGGCGGGGCTCACACGCTGGCAGGGGGCGGGGCCAGAGCTGAAAGGGAGCTGCGTCAGCCCGCACATTCTGAACCAGGACCGCAGAGCAGCTGTGTGCAGACACGATGGGACTCAGAAGCCCGTAGAACGCAGGGGCCCACGTGAGAGAGGACGGTCAGGTGGGGGAGCAGTGTGGGGTGCAACCAGGAAAGGGAGGGGAGAGAGGCCCTGTGCACCTGGGTCCTCAACGCAAAGAGGCCAGGTGGGTGGTTTCAAAGTCACCTTTTGCTCTAACTTTCAGTTGTTCAGTATTCCTCGAAAAGAAAGTTTCCTTAACCCTGAGAGAATGTTCAGAGCTGGCCCAGGATTACACAAAAAAGAACAGAACAGAAAGCATAGTAACACTTCGGCAGTGGTCATCTCCGGGTAGTGGTATTCATTTTCTTATCCTTTGTGTTTTCCTGTGCTTTTTAGCTCTTCTCCACTGCTTATGAATTTCTTTTGAAATCACAGAAATAAAGTTTTATTTTAGAAAACAATGCCAAAGAACACAGCTGTATGGAATCCAGAGCTTCTGGAGAGGAAACTGAAAATGGTTGTGCATGAATGTAGCTTTCGGGTCACGTTTTCCTTGTGGGAGAAGGAAGGCCAAGTGGACCCTGGCCCAGCCATCTGCGGAGCTTCTGGGGAAGCAGGTGGCCTCCCGGTGCCCCGTGGGACCACCACAGGTCCCACAGAAAGAGAGACTCCTCTCTCTCGTGGGGAGAACGAACCGTGCGGACAGGAGAAAAGGAGTCTGCACATAGTCTCCCAAGTCTTCTTTGTCCTGGGGCTCAGAGGCTGGCTGGAACAATGGCCCCTTCATCTCTAATCCAGATGTATTTTTTCATGTGGAAAGGGGAGAAGACCGGACACCAAGAGAGGTCACAAAGCCAAGCCTGAGGGAGCAGGTTCACACAATTCTGCGGAACCGGCTCTGAGAAGGCGAGAAGGGGGACGGGAGACCGCCTGGAGGAAGGGTCTCAGGCAGAGGCTGGCCCGGTGCCCCTGCCCAGCTCGCCTGGGGCTGAGGGGAAGTGGATGGGGACAGGAGGGGACACACCCCCCACACCGTCTCACAGCCCGGACTCGGCTTTCTCTCACACAGAGACAGTGTCTCCTTCATCTGCGCACACACCACAGGGAGAGAACTGGAAAGGAAACCCGTTCTTCTTTCTCACTGGACACGCCCAGGGCAGCCCGGAGCTGAGCTCACCTAAGACCTGGGGACCTTATATGGAGAGACTATGGGGGGAGTGGGGGGGGGGAACCGGAAGGTGATACTGGGCCCAAAGGCCCGTGCCTTAGCGGGGTCCTGCTGTGTCCCAGAACACGGGTCAGATGTCAGAATGCACCAAAGTTGGGGCAATCTCAGAGACACTATTCCACAGAGGAGCCTTGGGGAGATGCATAAAGAACCCCCCACCTCGCCCGGGCTGGTGTGGCTCAGTGAACTGAGTGCCGGCCTGCGAACCGAAGGGTGGCTGTTTGGATTCCCAGCCAGGGCACATGCCTGGGTTTGGGGGCAGGTCCCCAGTGGGGGGCACACAAGAGGCAATTACACATTGATGTTTTTCTCCCTCTTTCTCCCTCCCTTCTCAGCTCTCTAAAAATAAATAAAATGAAATCTTAAAAAAAAAAAAAAACTCCGTGCCTTAATTGCAGCCCCCCAAGACAGACCCCTGAGACTAGAGTAACAGAAGAGCCCCCTGGCTTTTCTTTTCTTTTTTAATTTATTTATTTTTAAAGAGAGAAGAAGGGAGGGAGGGAAACATCAGTAAGTTGCCTCTTGCACGTGCCCAACTGGGGACCTGGCCCACAACCCAGGCATGTGCCCTGACCAGGAATCAAACTGGGTTCACAGGCCAGCGCTCAACCCGCTGAGCCACACCAGCCAGGGCAAGAACCCCAGCTTTTCAAGTGGAACTCTGAAGAGACCTCCTAGCGCATCACAAAGGCAGCCTAGGGGGCCGGTCTTGCCTGCTCCAGGCCCCGGGTTCACAGAGGATGGAGGAGGGCAAAGCCGCCTTCCAGGGACAAGGGTTCCCTTAGCCATACCCAGTCTCTGCCCTGCAGCCAAATTTTCTGGCTTAGCCTTAGAACTCTCCCTGCACCATGAAATCTTAAACAGAAGCCCAGTGGTAACATCAGATTAATTCAAAGCTGCCGAAGTGGCCCAGAGCCCCGCCCGACCCCTCCCTTGTCCCTAAGGCACCTTTCTAGAGCCTGAGGCTCTGGGAAGAGTTTGAAAACCCCTCCTCTGGGGCAGTAGGAACTCCAGCTATCGGAATGAGATAGGAGAACTTCCGCTGCAGAAAGAACTCCGGGCAGGGACTGTGCAACTCCCACGGTTTGAACAAAGTCAGCAGCAGTGGTACCAGGCAAACACACCAGATCAGAAGTCAGGAGACCCAGAATCTGAACCAGACTCCACCGCTGACTAGTCTGATTCTCTTGAGCATGTCGTGTAAGCTTCCTGGGCCTCAGCTTCCTTTTCTGCAACTGGGATAATAACATTAACTCCACAGGGTCACTGGAGCACAGTATTGGACACAGCAGACCTCAGTACACATGAGCTGGACATGAAAGAATCAGTGACAACTGGTGCCTCAACTTCAATGTCCATTCCTCCAGGTGAAGTCAGATTCATCACAACATTGGCCACAAAGCAACCTGAGATGCTGATCTGCTCCTCACAGAAAACCATGAAAACAAGGGCAAGGCTCAGCTCCTGGCTGACTCGGGTCTTGTAACACATTCTAGAGGACATCCTGGGGCAGGAGATGGCACAGGAAGAACTCTGAGGTTGCGCTGCTGTTACTGGCCAGCGTCTAGCGTCCTGGTTGCCAGGCAACGCCTTTATCACTTAGGTAGAATGGATGGTAAACCAAGGCAGGGAGGAGGAGGGAGGCTTGTCTCACCCACTAACTCAGCAGGCCTGAGCCTGGTCCAGTAATGTTGCCAGCTGTTCCGACATCACAGGAAACACCATGTTAGCACGGGAGGAGGGCAGTCCCTGAAATTCTATGTATCCTCATCTCCACTGTCTGGGAAGGAAAGCCTTGAAACTGTGCTTTCATCCCAAGGCCTGGAAGGTGGGAGAGGGACCACAGTGTCCAAAAAGAAGAAGCCCATAGAACAGCTTTGGTTAATTTCCTGCCTCTGGTCACCCTGTTTTACTATGAGTCCCTGATGCTTACTTACAGAGAGAGCTTATAAGTAACTTTGGGTAACTGCCCCAACTCTAATTAACTGCCTCCTGTCACGTGTCTGTTTTACAAGATGAACGAACACATAGACTCTGGAGCAAGATAAGGATTCGGGCTGACAGACCCCCACACTCACCTAAGTCTGGGTAGTCACAGCCCCTGGGAAAGCGGCACCACCTTTACCTGTCAGTGAACATGTAACTTCACCCCATCCCGCCAACTATGTATGTAAGTCCTCAGAACAAAGGACCTGGCACTCCTGCCACCCTGGCTTTGCTTTGTCCTGAACCTACGCTTTTCTCACCTCCGCAAGGCCCATTCTCGTTTCTGAGAATGCATCACCAATAAACCCTGCTTGCACGCCAATGCACTTGCAAATCTGTAATTCGCCACCGCGTCAGCCAGAAGAACCAGGGTTTTTTCCTGGAACGTAAATGGTGCCGAAACCCGGGATCCTGACCCGGTCCCACCCTTTGTCTCCTCCCATTCATAATACCAGCATGACTGAGTTACAGCTTCAAAGTTAACACCTGTGATTCTCAAACTTTTGAGAAAAGGCTTCAGAAAAATGTTACCGAGTAAGACCCAGATGACTCAGACCGTCAGTGGGCTGCCAGCTGCCAGAACTACCCTGAAACCCACATCTGCACCGTGTGGCCGAGAGCAGGTCAGCAGCAGCTCTAGGGCAGCTGGACAAGGCTCCTCCTCGGCCTGCGCCCTGCACTGGAAAGGGCAGTGTAAGTGGGTTCTCCCTCCCCGGCCACAACACACACACACACCCCAGGTGGTGGCAGCAAGACACCTGGCTAAGCTCCCACCATCGGAGTTCAGGTCTAGGACCCTCCTTCCCTACATGACCAGATGGTCACAAAGGAGGGGAAAGGGGACAGTGCATCCCCAACCTCCGAGCAAGGCAGTCTCTCCCTGCCACTCCTGTGATATGAAGGGGTCAATTCTTCAACTGTAACACCTCGAAGGGGTCAGATGTTAGCCATTCATTAATAGCCTCATCAGTGATTAACGGCCTGGGTGACAGGTGAGGACATGAGACAAGACCCCCGGTGCTAAGGAGAGACGGGGGTGATAAAAATAACCTTCAGGGGCTTTGCAGTTCTGCCCAAGCCGGCCTGGCCAGAACGACTCCGGGTAGTAGCATTTGAAATGCTAAATTCAGTAGCATTTCAGCCCCTGTGCCCAAGAAGGAGCTGGTAATGGCCTGTATTCGTTGCTGCCACAACTCAGCCAGGCACTGCACCGCCATCCTGGGCAACTTGGCCCAGGCCACCACTGCGGCCCTCTCCAAGACATACAGCTGTCTCACTCACCCCGGGCCTCTGGACAGACTGTGCTCACCAAGTCCCCCTCTCAGGAGCTCAGTGACTATCTTGTAAAGACCCTCCCCAGAGTTTCTGTGCAGAGGACCCGGGCTCTAGCTCTCGCCACCGGGTGTCCCCTGCACCTCCTAGTCTACTCCAGTCTCCAGTTACAGTGTTCTCCCAAGTCACTGTACCAAACCAGAGCCCTCGACACTTTTACATCACCTCCTGGGACTGCACAGTGACCTCCCTGCTGAGGACTACTTCACAGGGT